TTAAAATACGAAATGAAATCGGATTCGTCTCCTCAAATTATCACAAGCAAAAATAAAATAGATTTACAAAGTCATAAAAAATAATCTTTATTCTTATTCAAGGCTTTCAATTTTTGGAGAAAAAAACAATGCCGATTAATTTCTTGAGAATTTTAATCAAATTTAACCACAAAAACAATATAGGCGGTTATGAAATTTTTAATATTAGCATAAACGAACATTTATATGCAGGATGATTCGGTGTGACGGTGTCCCTGTTCATCAGAGATTGTACTTGCTTGCTACCAGCCAAAAAATAATTTACGTCAGGTCTGAAAGTTTTGAATGCTTAAATTATGGCTAATACAAGAAAAATGATAAATCTGAAAATAAAAAAATGGAGAAAATACTATAAAAATGACAAAAATTTTTTTTTTTTCGTAGTGTGGAAATCAACGAGATCTTCAACAAAAATCAACAAAACTTTGTAGTTTAGAAATACATTAAGAATATGAATAATAATAACTAATGAAAAACTTCAATTTGTTACAATACTTAGTAAGAAATGTCTATGCTTTTGTTTATTTTGTGGTGTAGTGTGGTCACTGAATAATTGACTGAATGGATGCCAAGGATTTCTATCTTCTTTTCAGTCCTGTAATTGCATAAACTGCTGTTCACCAAACGAAATTGGTGTCGTTCACGTTGTTAAGTTGAAAGCGTTGACACTGTCGACGCTCTCTCTCTCCCTCTCTCTCTCTCTCTCTCTCTCTCTCTCTCTCTCTGTTTCTGTTTCTCTGTTTCTCTCTCTCTCTCTTTTTGTTTCTCTGTTTCTCTCTTTCTCTATATGTAGGGTTTTTATATCAGTTGCGAGTCTAATTTAATTTTAGGGTTCAATCGGTTGTTCAAACGCGTTTTTATATGACTTTTGTGGCATTTTAAGTCCTTCTGTTAAATACATATTTAATGTCCATTAAATTTTAATAAAACTTTGTGGCGAAAATTTTTATCAATCTTCGAATTTTTGAGTATTTTTAAATTACTTACTTTGCATATGTGTCTGAAAGTGATTCTATTGAATAAATTACATATTCATGAACATGGAGATGGCGGAGCGTATGACGTTTTGCATGTTATCTTTGTAAAAATGCTTTCTTTTCTTCCTTAATTACGAGATTATTTATGCTATGTAAGTAGTGATCAAACATCTATTACAAATAACGAAGCTTCTTTAATAAACGAATATTTTGAATTGTACAAAAATAAGCCCTGCTTTGTTTGTTATTCGAACTGTTCTTATAAATCAACATAAACTTCCCAAGCTCAGAGCCTGCTTATATTCATGCCGGGCCACGCTATGCAAGGCAACAGCCAGAGCCTTAAAGAAAGATAATGCGAACGATAAATCTTCCATTTTGATTTTCTGGGAGTTTCTGCATGTTGAGAGCTTGCATTGGCATCTATGGCTTGCTATCACGCAAACGTGTCGTTATTACTTACGCGATAACCATTGTTCGAACGTATGTTGCTTATTGCCTCACTTGATAGCCATCGTTGATCCGGTGCTACTTACTGTTTCTTCGTATGCATCTAGTTTAATGCAGTTTCGAATATTTTGAAAAGTCATTTCATCAGTTGTTTTAAAATATTTTAATTGTTTGTAAACATTTTATGATTTTATCATCATTGAAATTAATGAAACCATGTCTATTTTTCCACACCCTATCATGAAAACATCTTGAAGCCTTGAAATACTACAGTGAAAAAGGTTTAAAACTATGTTTAAATGCCGGTTATTTAAAAGAAACAGAAACTAAAACTTCATTTTTATATCGTGTAAGTTTGTCCCAGTAAAGATAAAAAACAAAAATGTTTAAAAAATATATAAAATAATTTTGTTCATATTGTTAAGTGCCTCCTAAAAAACATCACTATCTACAATAATGAATAGTAAAATAAATAACTTAACGTAAATAGAATACTTTAATTTAAACAGTTTATTTAATTTATGTAAATTTTTACACGTATTTCTAAAGAATGTTGATTCAATTCATTAACACTCGTATTAACATTTTCAAGTAAGTAAATATTAACATTTTTTGAATCCATGAATATATATAAATCCATGTTTGAATCAATCAAATAAATACCTCGCATACTTACTTGCAAATTTTCAATTAATTTGCATTGTTAACAAAATGTTCAAATAATGCGTGAAAGATTAAAAATGTTTTAAGGAAAGTATAATCAGACTTGAACGCTGTTTTCAGTTCAACTTGATTACACTGTAATGTTCAATTAAAAAATAGTAGTTCGCGAAGAAATTAAACCACACAATACACTGGTTTCTAAAATTTCCTACCGTAAAATGTAATTACGTCCATAGTCACATGCAACTGATCTTGTGCTATTTCTTTGTAATAAGAATATAGTAAATAAAAATAAATGAACCTTCTCTGGTGCCAGAAGTTAAATTTGAATCTGAACGAACCACACACATGCTGCAACTCACAGTTATTGCATGCAATACTTATTTGCCACATTTAACAAGGGGCATACATTTTTTTTATGTTAATTTCACATTTTTATTTAAAAAATAAAACATTGATAATCTCCGTGTGTCAACTTATAATTCATTTTGGAGTATGCATCATGGGATTGTGGGTATCGATTTTACTTGCAAGTGTAGCCTATATTAAGTCTTCAGAGGATCTGACTCAAGACGCATGATTAATTAACTTCATCCATTGGCTGCGGTATTAAGTTTGTGGACATGAAAAAATCACGAATTATTATGCTCGTGCAGTATTTTTTAATCGTGAAGATTTTTGTTTCTTATGTAATATTTTTTTACCGAGTTTTATTCAATTTTTAACATTTTTAAAATTAAGAACATTTATTTTTTTTCAATAAAGTGTAGTTAATTTTATTTTTAAAAAAAGGAAAACATCACAAATATCAGCATTTGGCTGCACGTGTTTTATCAAGCTGCTAATCACTTGTACTTATTCAACAGAGGTTAATCAGTTGCAACCTGGCTTGCCGTGTGCCTTGTTTCACAATCATTTTACGTTTTGTTGGTTTCTTGTTTCTATGCAATTTGCACATAGTTGCCAATACACGAATTTCCAATTATAATCAATTTAGATAACCCAAGTCTCTGGCAGTGCATGACCAAATGCGACATATTACAACATCTTGCCGTCAAATATTACATACAAATATGCCTGAATATCATGTTAATTTTTGCATACCCTTGTAATTTTTGTTTATGGTGTTAAATTCTGCATATCGTATAAATTTCGGTATTTCATGTTAATTTATTCTTGAAAGTATAAAAACCGTGTTGTCAAAACTGAAACAAAATTTTCATTCTGTTATCTGAAACAAAAATCTAATTTTACGAGATGGGTACCGTCCACCACATTCATCCGGTTAATCTTCAAAAAAATGTCCAGCAACAACAATTAAACGTAGTCTCTCACTTGTCAACGGACCTATTTATGCCTGTTTAAAATTTTCCTCCATGTCACAAATGTAATGTGACAATTATTTGTGATCTTTTATTCGGCCCCTCAGTTGATCGATGAATTGAACCTAGAAAATAATAATTAAATTAATTCCACCTAGTAAATACTTAATTGAACCCGATAAATAAACTAGAGTAGAATGATTCTAATTAAAATAAAATCTATTCTGCATTAAATATATTTTGCATTTACATTTTGCAGGCGTTTCAGTTGGAGCTAGTGTCGTAACCATCATGTGTCTCAGCTTGAATCGATACATCGCAATCAAACATCCCGTCAGATCAAAAACTTTATGTAGAACAAGCAACGTGATCATCACCATCGCGTCAGTATGGGCGGCCAACCTTCTGATCATGATACCTCTAGCGGTCTATCGTGAACATGTCAAACTTGAAGATATGAAGCATATTTTAGGACTGGATATTTACTATTGCCTGGAAAACTGGGGCGAAGCCAACAGAAGACCCTATTTTGACCTCTTCTTGTTCGTTTTAATAATTTTGGCACCGGTAAGCGTGGTACTGTATTCATATTTTTCCACTGGTCACAGTTTGTTGATGCGGGATATATCGTTGCGGGACCAAGCCAACTCGTCCAACTCGCAGAAACGTATTATGGCCGGTTAGTCGGAACTTTTCAACGATGTTTTCGCAAATAAAAAATCAAAAATTTTTTAAAAAGTGGTATTGGCGATTTATTTTACAAATAATAATTTTTCGTGGACTGAATTGCAATGATTAATTTATTTGTTTCAACAGGACGTCGACGCCTGGCATTCATGTTGATGATTATCGGTCTCTTCTTCTTCGTTTCCTGGATGCCATTTGCCATCTACAACTTGTATCTTGATTTCATGCCGAGAAATTCTACAACAGACTACCCCAGCAATGTCAGTTACGTGATGTTAGCTATAGGACATTCTCACAGCGCTCAAAACCCAGTGTTGTACTGCATCATGAACAGTCCTTTCAAACACCAGATCTGCAGAATGTTTAGCTGTCGTCGTAGTTCGAGCAGCCAATCACAAATGATGGGAGAGTTTAGCACGAGACAGGTGCTGATGATTCGTTTCAAAACATGTACTAATTTTTTATATTGTACAGTTTTAAAAAACTTATAACTACGGAACAATTTTAAAAAGATTATATTTTCAATCATAATTTTTTTGAGTATCAATTCGGCATAAAAATTTATTTTTATTAACAAAATTTACTGAAATTTGAATGTTTAGACCGTCAAATTTTGTATTTTTAAGGAGGCCTGTAAAATTTATTTAGAGATTATTAAGACTTAAAAAGGCATAATTTATCACACTTAAACAACACTTTCTCAGAAATAATTTTTAAGCCATTAGCACTTACACAAAAAGTTGACAGCAGAATGATCACCAGATTGAATAAAAAAGAATAAATTCTTAACACAATTTAGAAATAGTTGCAAATTAAATTAAACATTACATCATTCTTTTTTATATAACATGCTTTAAAATTTTTATTATGATTAAATTATGATTAAATTATCATTATTAAAAACTCTCTTTATTATTCTTATTAAATTATTATTATCATTATTGATATTATGATTCTATAATATACTAACCGACAGATGGAGGAAATGGCTGGAAACAATCATTCCATGACGTCAGCCAACAACAACAGCAACTTCACCAACAACGACTTCAACAGATCTTTCCGTAAAAGTAGGAAATTAAATTCTCCAGGATATCCGTCTTTCATGAATCATTATCATTCGAGGTCTACTTCATTTCGTGCTAACCATTTGCAGCAAACTCAGCGATCCTCCTCGTCAAGAACCACTGAATCTCTTACACTTTCAGCTGAGAAGAATGCGTCACCAGTTGAAAATAATTTGAAAACAAATAAAATAAAAAGAGTGAATGGAGGCAACACATCGTTCACAATTTTTTCGGCTTTGGCTACCACAGTTGTGACAATGAAACCAGGAATAAAAGCTCTTCCAAATTCTTTCTTGCCTATTTTAAGTGAACTTAGTACAACGTTTAATGAGAATAATGAAAAAAATAATAATTTCAATGGCCAAAATTATTTTTACGATGATGATGAACAAAATTTTAACGTAGCAAACCACGTTATGGCAAACTACCAATCAAATATAACGTCGTCTTTATTATTTTTTCCATCATTAAATCATCCGCTTTCACAGTCCGCTATTAACATGGTGGAGATGAATCAAGCTGCAAATCTCTCACCAGCACTTGCAGCGTCAACTGACGACGTGCTGTCGGAGCAAATATCTCTCCCTCAATCACCTCGCCCAGAACGAGCAGGAAAAATTGCGATTGATAGACCAACTAAACACCTAGAATTGCATCCAACGAATTTTTTAAAATGCGAAAAAAAGCAAATGTCATTATCAATTTCTACACCACAAATAAAATTATTTCAATTAAAAGACCAACTGTTTTTCAAGACTAAATCATCAACGACATCATCTCTGTCAACATCATCATTATCATCATTGTTATCATCTCCTCCAGCACCATCGTCACTTCCCAACACAATAATCACGACTAAAAAAGTAGTCGTAAACTCAAAAACCCTTGATATTCTGGTATTAGGCCACTGAAGCCATACATCAGTCATGGAGCGTCCGACCGATCACTAGCAAAATATTTAAGCACTTGTTATTCCGTGACGTGGTGGCTTTCTGTAATATGTGGTGAACCATACTCCCTGAATATATATATATATATATATAATGACATATATATATACATATATATATATATATATATATTAACGTGCACATATATAGGCTTTATTCATTTAATGTATATACAAATACGTACTTAACGAATATCGACAGGATTTTTAAGTTACGTTTACAAACTTGGACGTTGGACCATCGTATTGTAATAGCCTGTCTGCCATTCTTATTGGTTTTGTTTGTCCAGTGGTAACTTTTCTTGATCTAGTCATTTTTCCATATTAAAATTAATTGTGTGCTTTCAAATGAGAATTAAGTCGCATTCTGCATGCGAAATGTTGCATTTTATTTTTAATTAACGCGCCTATCTTCGTTTGGAAAAATTCATGCATTGATCGTGGTTATGCTTTTCGTTTACATTTGATGATTAAAAAACATTTGCAAAAACAGGAATATTCTTTAAAAAAACATGAACTAGCTGAGATGATAAATAACAAGTTATAAAATCATTTGACTATTAATAATTATTTACTACAACAATTGATTCACACAGGGATATACTAAAAGTTAAAATGCCTCAACACATGGCAACATGGTTTCAATTATATTATACTAGGAATGTTAGCACATATGTGGATGCTTAAATAAACTTTTTAAAAAATTAAAGGATTAAATTTAGTAAAAATAAAAACTAAATGAATCGCGTGAATAAAATACAGGTTACAAAACAAATTAATAAAACATGAAATAACATCCGAAACATCAAGCTTTATCCATTGATATAAAAAAATAATCAAAGAAAAAGTACAACATTGTTAACAAAGCATTTTTAAGTTTTATAATTTTAGAAAAGTCAATCACCCACTAAAATAGTTATTATATAACAAAATATAATGTGACAATACTATATTTTTTTACTCAGCATACTGTACAACATGACTTTTTTCTGTCAGCTTTAACTTCTTCAGCTCTCATGGGTTCTGTTAACTGGCATTTTTCGAAATGGATTTCCACTTTGGTTACTTCCACATCATTTGTGTCGACTGAACAATCGTTTCTGAGCGATTCAGCAGGTACAGGTTCGATGTTGAACGATGTTGAGGCGTTAGGCGACACAAGACGGCAACTGTCTGGTGACGATACATTAGCAAAAAGACTTGAATCAACGTCGTCAGGGTCCACAATTTTTATCGAGTTTCTGGTTATTTTTGAGTTGCTTATGATAAAATCAGCTTTGCGACTCAACACTCCAGCTTCTGTGAACGGATTTTCCCCAGAATCTGTGATCCTTAAATAAGTTCAATTAATAATTGTGAATCTAATCTAACTGAATTGAAATAAAATAGAAAGATGGTATTGTTATTTATTTTTTAAAAACTATAAAATTTACAACTGCAAAAAAAAGCCGCAAGACGAACAAAATTTAAATAATCTTACACACTACTGTTGTTTACGACTTCCATTTCGAAATATTTTTACCAAAAAACTTAAATATTAAAAAAGATAAAAATTAATTTAGACATGGTCAAACCCATATAATTAGAATTAACCCGTCAAACTCATATAACTAGAATTTAAATTCAAACTTTTTCGATTTTACAGATTTCGTTCATCATATTATTATATATTATTCATATCAAATATTCATTATATGTTTAGCTGTATTATTCATTATGTATTCATTGTCATTTCGCAGGTTTAATTATCAATTAAAAAACGCTTTCATTTATATCTAGTTATAGTTGGGACTTTTTCAAAATTGAGTTTTAAAGTATTTTTTGAATCCGTTAAAAACGATTTATATTAGAAAAAATTGCCAAAAATTTGAGCCGTTATCTGAGATTAGTTAGCACATTAGCCCATATTATGATAGCGGGTTCAATTTTCTATTAGAAAACGCTTGTGCAGCGGCTGATCTAAAGGGAGAATGTTGTGAGCAGTGTTATTATTAAAAGTCAGTAAAACTCAGTTTTTAAGTTTTTAGACAGAAACACATTGTTTTTAAGTACAAATCTGCAAAATATTAGCGTGATAAGCAAAAAAACGATCACCAGTGTAATTTTGGCCACACTACACACTAGCGAACATTCGGTTATTTTTTCGCTTTCCTCGTCACATTTCTAAATTTCAATCGTTTTAAATTTGTAAAAATCGACCAAAAGTCAACATTATCTAGATCCATCCGCCACTGGATGAATTTTGCCATTGTCAATTTAAGCTTATACTTATATTGAAAATTTGACAATCCGATAGAGATTTCAATCTTAAATTCATCATCATTCTAAAAAAATTCGTTTCTCCGTTGGTAATGCTAAAAGTTCTACTTTGCGAGCTTCTCGTCGACTCTCTGGATTAATCGAGCCGGGAACCCACCCTCGGTTAAAGATTTGCACAAAATTTTTAAGACTTACAAAAATCACTATCTAATTAGGTTGCTAATAAAATTAAATTTTTATTCATATTTAAAATATTCGATTTATTTTAAAAACTTACGATTAATAACAATCAAGTCAATTCTTATCATCAATATGTAAAATTGAACAACCCATTCTTTATTTATTGTTACAATAATAAAACAAATTTTGAGTTAAGTAATACGTCTGACGCTAAGGGCGGTCTTTCGATTTAGCTAACTGTCCATCTCCACCTAAGGGTTACATTTTTCAATATATGCTTACATCAAACTTTCTTCGTTTATCATCACTCAATGATTTCAATTCAGCTAGTATTAAATATCCTTTAAAATAGGAATGTTACTTTTCCTGTTCAAAATTACATATATATATATATATATATATATATATATATATATATATATATATATATATATATATATACATGTATATATATTTATGTTCTCATCCTACTTATTCAACTTTTTTGATTTTATACCGACTATATTTATGTTATTTTTATCTGCTTTGCTGATATCGATGCTTTTAATTACATTTTTGTGCTTGCATTCGTGTGTGTGAGTTTACACGTGTTTTTGTTTTGAAGTTAATTTGTGCGTGTGGTTGTGCATGTGTGATTGTGCATGCATCTCTAGGCCTCAACGTGCTCGATCGTGCGAACTTGTACGTGCGAGATAGAACGCACTAACCATATGCATGTCTGTTTTCACATTAAGCATAGGTTATCTTAACATTTTGATGCAAGTGTTTCCATTCTCATTTATTTGAACATAAACCGTCGTAAAGAAATAATTTTTAAATTTTACACGCGCTAAAATAATTAAGAGATTTTACATTGTTTAGTGCAATGAAATTAAATAAAATCAGCGAATAGTTAAACAAAAAATAAAATGTGGACAATATGCATATTTTATTCCAACCGCGAACTCGATCGAATACGGGGAAATATTATAATTTGGTGCCACTGAAGTACTCGTGCACACCGTTAAAATAACGAAAACGGAATAAATTAAAATTTTGGCTGCAAGGTTGAACGATGAAGAAACAAAGAAATTAGCTTAGTGGTGTGAACCATAATCATTAGCTTTTGTTCGGTAAGCCTGCCAATTTTTAGGCAAATTGTGATGCCACATACTACAACACCAACACAAACCAAAGCAATGTTATTATAAACTTCAGTTTCGCTTACGTACATACATACACGAATGCATATAAATAAATATGTATATACTCGAGTACATATATATGCATATAGTATTAATTATCAAAATTGACAGCGAAAACACGCGCATCGTCGTGCACTCGTGTTATTAAGTAAAAAGTTATGTTACGAACAAAGACAGACAAAGATGTTGTTAGGTACAAATATATTATATTATATTATATAATACGCAGTCGAAAAATTCTTTGATTTGATTGAAGTATAACAAACCGAAAAAAGTCGAGAAAACCAATAAAATTAAAAGAAAATAGTAGAAATTTGTTAAAATGATAATAAAAGTGTATTGCAAAGTAAATAAATAAATATATTTGATATATATATTTGTATATATGGGCAGATGTAAAATACAAATAGTATAGAGTTGAGTGCAGTGATCAAATATGTTATATTCTTATTAATAAATGTAACATCATCAAATGCGAAGCCAATAATGAAATGATTAAGTAGGACAAAAAACACTTGCAGAAGCTTAATTTTTAGTATTGAATTCTTTGGAAATGTAAATTATTAAAATTTCTAAAATATCAGATTTGATTAATAAAAATATCTTTTTTTAATTTTTTATATTTATAAAATAATTAAAGCAAAGTTTTTATACGAGAATTAATTTTAGATGGAATGTTCAACATCTTTCGTCCAATCAGCTTTTTAGCGTTGTTTTAATATTAATGAGCTCGAGATTTATGTCAAATGAAATCCAAAATGGTTGTTTTTATGTTTTATGAAAATCTATAATTCTTCCGATGCTCTGTTCCAACTATATTCCAAAAGTATCCGTGAAAAATTATTTTGGTATTACTTTTTTTTGATTTTCTATTTTATAAAATAAAATAAACTAATTTTGATTTTTGTTTTCCGTCAGTGCTGACTTTTGTGATTGATTTATTTTTTTTGTTCTGTTGATTTTGAATCCAATTAAAATTAAATCACCGTAAATGTTTATTTTTCAATGTTCTACAGATTTTGTCATAACGGATTTTGTAATGATTCTTAAACAATAAATAAGCATTGCTGATCACCAAGTTAGTACAAGATCCACGAAACATGGAGGGCACTGGGGGCACTAGCTTTCTTGAAGAATTAACGAAAACGGATGAGTTATCAGGGGGTCCAGGAATGATGCCACAGATGCAGGTGGATATGCAGCAACCATATTGGAATATGGGTCAACAAGGTATGAACACTAGACAATCCCAATATGGAGGCCAGTTCAAGCAAATGCAAAATGATATGATGTCTCCTAGGATGCCACAAGTACATGGTTATAATGCCTATGGACCTAGCGGACAGATGATGAATGCTAATCCAATGTATGGTGGCTATCCTGGACAATCTCCTATTAACCCAAATGTTACTCCGCCTAGACCTGGAGCAAGCCAGATGTGGAATCATCAAAGTCCCGGATCGGAGAAAACAGCATACGGGCAGCCCAGCATGACCAGTCCACATCAATTGCCTCAGAGAATGGGTTTGTATGGCCAAGGCAATGTTGCATACAATGACCCTAACATGATGCAGCAACATTGCTTGCAAAATTACTCTGGAATGCAGCCAAACATAATGTCTCCAAGACAAGTTCCACCACAGAATGGCTCGAACAGGCCACCAGCTAATCAATATATGTATCCGCAGCAAAATTCAAATGCTTCTGAGTCATTGAAAAATGAAAATTCAAATATGATGCCAGGTCCAAGTAGCACTCAATATATGCAAAACAATCAAAGTCAATCATTAAATGTTGATGTTCAAAATCAGCAACAGCCAACATCAGCTCCACAACAAAATTACAACAATTCACAATCGCAGATGAATATTAATTCAAACATGCAGTTTCAAGGTGGCCCAGTCAATCAGTATTCAGGTGGAAGCGGCTATAGAATGCCAGCTTATCAGCAAAATATGATGGCTTCATCAACATCCCAGCAGTCAAATTTAAAGGGATATCCTAACCAACAATCAATTTACCAGGGTCAGCAAAATTATTGGCCAAACAGACCTATGAATCCTCATTATCAGAATGATATGATGTATCACCAAGGAGGTAGTGGAAGTGTATCGGGAGGACCTTCCTCTTACAGTCCCATGCAGCAGCATCAGTATATGCAACAGCAGAAACACTATCAAATGCAACAGTACCAACAGTTTCCTCAGCAAGCACAACAGTCGCAACAACAACAATATGGGCAATCTCAACAAATGATACCTCAAGGACAAGCTCAGCAGCAACCCACATCACAGCTTCAATCATTTAATCAGTATACCAATCCAGCTCAACCTCAAAGCCAGCAATCTCACGTAGCAGTTGATATGCTTGCAACACAAAGTCAGTCACAACAGTTTTCTCAACAGTATGGCCAGCAACACTATCCACAATCACAACAGTATCAGCAGATTATGAATCCACAGTTTCAACAACAATCACAGTCTCAACCTCCACAATATTATCAACAGCAAAGCAAGCAGCAACAACAAATGTTGGCTGATTCAGCAAAACTTCATTCTCCATCAACAAGCAATCAAGTCCCACAAGCACAACAAAAACAGACTACTCAGCAAGCAAATCCGCAGTTGAGCATGCTCTTAGATACACCTCAACAACATTCTGCATCTAAGCATGGAAAGCCTAATGTACAGCAACAACATCTTCACGATCCAGTTGATAAACAATCTCCGCAACAACAGCACCAACCATCCCAACAAATACCTCAGCAGTATCAACAGCAAATGCAGCAACAACAACAACAACATTCCCAACAGATGCAGCCTCAGCATTCTCAGCAAATGCAACAACATCAGCAACCACAACAAATGCAGCAACCACAACAAATGCAACAGCAACTATCTCAACCACATCCCCAACAGTCTCAACTACATCCACAGCAAATACAACAGCAACAATCCCAGCAAAATTCTCAACATATGCAGCCTCCACAATCTCAACAAAATCCTCAACAGATGCAACCACAACAATCACAGCATCCCCAACAAATGCAACAACAACATTCTCTGCAAATACAACAACAGCATCAGGGTCATCAACCAATTGCTCTTGAAATTCAGCAACTCCAGCACCAGATGCAGTCATTGATGTCAACCCAGCAAACAAATTCTTCCACTCAACAGCATATTAAAGATATTAAAGAAAGAATTAGATTTCTGCAGCATCAGCAGCAGCAACAACAACAACAACAGCCACATTTTGGACATCAGAAACAAAAATTGCAAATGAGTCCTTTACCACAGTCACAACAACCACTTCAGATCAACGTATCATCACCTTCAATGGTTATGGTTAGTATTTTGTTGACTTAATAAAGAAAATTTATGTTTTGAATTGCTAGTCAAAAATGTAATAGTTTGAATAGTTGACCAAAGTTACTTGGTGTTGGAGCATGGTTGAAATGTTTTTATCATTACTGCAGTTATTATTAATGAATAACACTGATGTTATGATTTGCAGTCAATTGTTTAAAAGGTCATGTCATCCTGTTTCATGGCTAATAAAATAAATGGGATGAATAATAATTTGATGTTTATGTTAACGTTTAAAAATTTTGTATTCTAGGGTGAAAATACAAAATTAACTCCCAATACCTCAACGATGATGGTACCAGCTCCTCACGAGCTGTCACCTTATGGTTACAAGCCACAGCAGCAACAACTTCAAACACCACCTCAGCTGCAAACTCCTCCGCTGTTACAATTACCAACCCATCATCTACAACCTTCACCACAAATGCATGTAAATCAACCACAAGCTCAACATCAAACCAAATTGCAACATTCACAATCCAGCCTGCAGCAGCACATACATCAACAAACACCACAACAAACACAGCAACAAGTGCAACAACAAACACAACAGCAACAAATGTATCAAAGCCTGCCTACTATGCAACCACCACAACAGCATTTATACTCAGACATTGCTCCTAATTCAACAAGTTATCCTGGTAGTAAAAATACTTTGAACAATTCTCATGATAGTGCTACAGACAACAACGATATAAACGCAGAAGTAACTCCTGCTTATAATAGTTCTCAACTGAATCCCATGAATGATGACAAAATTGGAGCAAGCAGTAGCATCAACAGCTCACTCATAACAGCACCTATGTCATTGGACCAGAAATTGCTTCCTGAACCATCGACCATGGTACCCATGGAAGAAGATTCAACACTCTCTACTCCTCCACCTCCTCAACTTAAGAATTGCATGGATTTTGATTCTGACTCATATTCTATGACTAGCGACCACCAATCAAACATTCCCATCAGCAACTCTTGTACTGGTTATGGCGGTATCAATTGTACTAGCTTAGGTAATGCTAGGTCTGGTTGTAGTAGTGGCGTGAGTAGTGTAGCCGTCAGCGACACTAGCAATGCTGTAAGTGTTAGTGTAGCTGATTCTGTTAGTCAATGTTTGAGTAATAGTTCTGAAAACCTTTTAAATATGGATTGTAATAACAGCGAAGGGTTGAATAACATGGGCAGTAACATTTTAACACTTGGCAGTAGCGATGGTAGTGTTAATTCTGAGAGCAATGTAGGTACAGGAGGAAATTTAGTAAGTAATAGCATGAGCAACCAAGGTGGTCCATCTTCTCAACCTTACATGCCTGCCATTCCACAGCAACAGAAGTCGTTAACGTCGTCATTTGATAATCAGTATTATGCACCAGCTGAAGGATCATTCATGAGCCTTATGAACTCATCAGAAAATTACTTGCTTAATGAAAGCTACACCACTTATAGTTATAACAGTGCTAGCAACAATCACAGCTTCAATAGTGGTCATTCCAATGATAATTCAATGAACATTTCTAGCTATGAAGATCCAGTACAGTCTGGTCTATCAGATAAAAAAAGAAAACGAAAAGCTGGAAAAGCAACCTCAGGTGTTGCAACAGGAAACGGAGGTAGTGTTGGCCAAGATGGAGAAGAAGAAAATAAACCTAAACGTCAGAGAAAGCCAAAGAAAAAGAAAAATGTTGATGACAGCATTGAAAACGTGCCAACGTCGTCACTCGAACCTGACCCATTTGTTCAAGACAATACATTAGAAACCAATGATGATCCTTTGGATTCCTCCATTTCTGCTCCCGGACAGACATCTAAAATTAGGAAAAGTAAAGATCCAATGAAACCACTGAAGAAAATTAAACCTCCGAAAGAAGTAGATGAGACTAAACTTTTGAAACAGCAACAGCGAGCAGAGAAAAAAGTTACAAAAAAGAAATCCAAATTGGTTGAAGGGGTCAATGAAGTCAGTTCGACCGTTGAGACATCTGATCCAGTTGTCTTAAGTGGGACCAATAATTTGAATACCATAGGGGCTGATGGTGCCAGTGTTTCCGATGTTTCTGCAACACCAAATGATGAAACACTTCCACCTGCGACTGAGGACAATGAATTGGCCAATGATGCCACCACCTCAACTACCACTTCAACCACGAAGGAAACTCTTCTAAAAGAAAAACCAAGGTTTCCCATAAGACCAAAATCTAAGAAGAAAAAGTTTGTTTCAATTAACTTTGTGATCTATTTCGTTTAACCAAATATTTTACATAATTAACATAATTAAATTTATCAATTGGACTTGTTGAAGCAGAGTTTTTGCCAAGTTATACAAATATATATTATTTTTAGCTTTTATTAGACATTTTTTGTACTTTCTTACATGTTTAATTTATTTTGTATGCATTTTTAATAGACCCTTGCCAACTGTGTTCAAGAACAAAAAGAGGAAGAAGCCACTATCTGGATCTGATATAGACCAGAAGTCCAATGCTGCTGATGCAACTGATGGGGAGAAAGAAGAAGCTGCTAATGTGAGTGACTGATTTATTTGTGCTTCTATCAATAATTAACTTTCTACATTTAAGTACAGATCTTAAATTGAATAGTTTTAGTTAAATATAAAAATCATCTTAAGAAACAAAATTGCGCTGAGGATTCAAAATTAGATAAGTTAGGATCATGTGAAAGAAAAAAGTCTTTTGATTTAATTTGGAAGCTGAAAGGTTTTCAGCACTACATGAAAAGAAAGCACATAAATATGGGGTGTTGATGTTTTTCTCTAGATTTGTATGCCTTGAAATGAATAACTGTAGAGTGGGCAACAGGAAAAATCATGCTCTATTTATTTATTTGTTTATTTGTTTGTTATAAAATTCTGTTCTGGAAACGTTTTTATGATTACTGATATTTGATTTTTAATCTTAACTAACTTGGAAAATGTTAACGTTTAAGAAAATTTGTATATTAACTATTCAATTCATTATTACATTAGAAGCGTCGCAGTGGAAGAAACACAAAGCGCATGAAGTACATGTTTGATCAGGAGAACAGTGCTTCAGAAGAAGACACTGCAGATACAGTCACCACATACTCCACTGAGGTTTGTCTTTGCTGTTTTTGATGATTTTTTATTTTGTTTAACTCTTAACTTTTTTAACTTCAATCCATCAATTTTTAATTTCGTCAAATCGATTGTATATAATGGAAGAAGTTTATTTTATGTATGATAGGTAGTAATATTTTTTCATTTTGTTCACGTTTTCGTAAAATGTTTCAGCAACAAACTGTTCAAGACATGAAGCCACCAGAGGAGTCACAGATTGTTGAGAAGATTCTTGGTAGCAGAATGGTTAAAAGAAAGGTACGAAAGAGTACTCATCTATGTTCATGTTATAATGATTGATGATGGTGATGATGATCAGATGATGACCACTCAGCCATGCTAATACTGAAGAGTTACTTCACTGTTGTGATTTGAACTCTTATGTGTTCAACTTGTTCTCTGATTATTCTGATGATCATCAACGCTACTGACATTTTTTAACCAAATTTAGTCTATATTATTAGTGTTTTAATCAGCTAGCTTCAATTCAATTTATTTTATGTTAAGCATTTTTTATAATTTCAAAAGATTGCTGTTTTTTCTGCTATAAAGGTACCCACTCATTCTAACAAGTCAAAAAATGAATGTAAAAAAGAAACAGAAGCTGATAATAACTCAAGTGAAGCCACAAAGAAAATGGATAACAATGAGAGCAAGAAGGATGCTGGTGGTGGTGATGGCAAAGATGACAATTTAACTGATACTAATTGTGAAAGATTATCTGGTACGGCAATAAAGATTAAAAGTATTGTGCCAATGTCAGATAAAGAAACTATTGAGGATGTTGATGATATCAATTCTGTCAAAAAAATGGATGAAGATGATGAAAATCTTAAAAATAATTCCAATGTGAATGCATCAGATTCGAAAAATTGTTCCACTGTTGATTCACTGGAAGGTACCAAGAGAGCAGATACCAAGGTTTCTGAATCATTGGAAACTGAAGTGAAAGAGGAGGAAGAAGAATATGAAGAAGTCGAAGTTGAGGAGTTCTATGTCAAATATAAAAATTTGTTAGTTCTGCTTTCAGATTTTATTTTTTGCAATTTTTTTTTGTTAGACTAAATATAATTACTATTTTACCTTTTTAGCTTAAAAAAAACTTTAAATTTTTAAGCCTTTCTTTCTTTATTTCACGGCTTAGAGCTGCACTGCCCATCCCTGTAATTTGAAAAGAGCATTAATTGATGTGAAGTTTCTGCAATATTTTAAAAATTATTTGTGTTTTTTAAATTCAAGACATTTAAATGACATTAAGTTTTATTTCCATTTTTCATGGTTTCACAATTTCTTTTGTCCTTCCCATCTCTTCTAACTAAACATTTATATTTTATTAAAATTAAAATAATATCAGTTCTACATGTGTCTCTTTAATATTTTTAAAACTAATCCTGTATTATCTTCCTGTGGGACAACCTGTAGAGCTATCACAGAAACATTCACACACAAATAATTTTTCTTACCATTTTATTGTTATTGATTCACAATTTTTTATCCTCATTAAATGTTATATTTCTACACAATTATTCTTCTATAAATTTTGAATTGAAATGAATTTTCTAACAAGTGTCTTGTTAACATTTTTCAAACGAACCTAAATACTTGGAATAGAATAATATAATGTTGAAGTGAAGTAACTGAGATGATAATCATTATTGAATGTTGCCTTCCTAGTTCGTATCTACATTGTGAGTGGAGGACTGCCAGCGAGCTTGAAGTTGGCGACATCAGAGTCTGGCAGAAGATCAAGAGATTCAAGATTAAACAACAAAGCAGTTTTTTTGAACAAGTACGACCTCATTTTAATTCATTTATCAACATTTTTAGAACATTTTAATTGTTGATTTAACCTTAACCATAAAGTTGTTATATCTAGTTGTGAGTTGAAAGCTATGGTGCAAATGATCTGCAAACAACTTGGTTTTAGCGACCTTGTTGTGAAAGCAAAAACAGTGTCAACATAGCAGCAATAATGATACTAAGTAACATTGTATTTTGCATAATTGGTATAAACAGTTGGAAGATGATGACTACTTCAATCCTGATTATGTTGAAGTTGATCGCATTCTCGATTCCTCAACAATTGTTAACCCGGACACCAACCAGCCCATCACTCATTATCTCATCAAGTGGAGAGGATTGGGCTATGATGAAAGCACATGGGAGTCTGAAAAAGATGTGGATAAGCAAAAAGTAAGCTACTATTCAATCACATCTTGTCTGTTTTATATATTGTTGTACAAATTTTTTTTTCATTATTTATATTTTGTATCATTTCATTATAGATTGAGTTTTTCAATCGAATAAAAGTTGTTCCAACGGAGAGTGAAAGAAAAGTTTGTGTAGTTTTTTTATTCTTTTGCTATTCATAACGATCAATGTTTGTTTGTTTGTTTGTTTGATTGATTGATTAATTGCTTGATTGATTGATTGATTGGCTGATTAATTGATTGATTGATTGATTGATTGATTGATTGATTGATTGATTGATTGATTGATTGATTGATTGATTGATTGATTTGATAACAACTACACATATTTGATCATACAATATTTAAATAAATGAAACTCAGAAGTTTGTAGGTTTTATAAATTACTGTCTGATGTTCATTTTGTACATGATGTGAAGAAATTGAATTGAGCATTACAAAATTTGTTAATGCAGATGAAGCCGCGACCATCAGCCGAACAGTGGAAGTCGCATGAGGAATGCCCTCAGTACAAAAATAACAATGTTTTAAGGGAGTACCAACTTGAAGGTCTAAACTGGCTCACTTTTAGTTACTTCAACAAGTTTGTTACTTTTTTTTATTCATTTAGTTTTTTCTGTATCGGTTTCATCTGCTATGTTATCAACTAATTTGTAAGTCATCTTAATGTTGATAAACAACACTACAGACAAAGTTGTATCTTAGCCGACGAAATGGGTCTTGGAAAGACCATTCAGAGTTTGACATTCATAGAGGAGGTGTATCGACATGGTATCTACGGTCCCTTCCTCATCATCGTACCACTCTCCACTATTGCCAACTGGCAGAGGGAATTTGAGGCTTGGACTGATCTTAACGTCATCGTGTACCATGGAAGCAACAGCAGTCGCAGCATGTTGCAACAATATGAAATGTACTACAAGGATCACAAGGTAGTATTATAAATGGTTTTTGTTTTATTTGAAAAATTTTCATTTATAATTGTTATAATTTATTTATGTTAGTTTTGAGTTTCTTTCAGCATTTGTAAATTTATTATGATCTTCTCAGGGCAAAAGGATAAACAACTTTTACAAGTTCAACGTTCTGATAACTACCTTCGAGTGTATCATAACTGACCTTGACATTCTCAGGCAAATAAACTGGAGGGTGGCGGTCATTGATGAAGCTCATAGACTTAAAAATAGAAATTGTAAACTGCTGCAGGGACTGAGCAGCGTTGACGTTGTTAGTTTTTGTTTGAGAAATGCTTCATTACATTTAACATTTATTGCTCTGCTTTACTGGATGCGTTTCATTTCTCATCTTCAATTGAAGGATGGTAAACAAAATGGAAATTTATCAGTTGCATTTAGAATGACCAATATTTTCTTGCAGTAATTTATTCATATTTAGTTTCTTTTTCAATTATGTTGTCATCTGTTATGTGATTTCGTATACATGACTATATTAAATTTAGTTTTTTTTTTCTGAAAATATAAAATATGCATATATTGACATCCATATTTATTGGAAGGAGTTTAATTTGTACATTAGGCATCAATGGTTATTTAAAATATGAAATATTTTAATTGTTTCATTATAAGGAGCATCGTCTTCTGCTTACTGGCACTCCACTACAAAATAATGTTGAAGAGTTGTTCAGCTTGTTGAGTTTCCTTGAACCCAAACAGTTTGGTTCATCAGAAACTTTCATGTTGGAGTTTGGCAAACTTGAGAGTGATACACAAGTTGAAAAATTGAAATCTGTTAGTGTCGTTTGTGGTATAATTTACTTACAATTAATTTATGTCATTTTTCATTAAAATATCTCTTCTCTTTCATTCTGCAGATTTTGAAACCTGTCATGTTACGTCGTCTAAAAGAGGATGTTGAGAAAAGTTTGGCTCCTAAAGAGGAAACCATCATAGAAGTTGAACTGACGAACATTCAGAAGAAATATTACAGGGCCATATTAGAGAGAAATTTTGCTTTTTTGGCTCGTGGAGGTGCATATGCCAGTGTGCCAACGTTGATGAACACCATGATGGAACTGAGGAAGTGCTGTAATCACCCCTTCCTCATCAATGGTTGGCTACTTTTCAGTTGATTTAGTGACATGCTGATCATTTAACTATTCGTTCAATTGCTTTATGAATTTTTTATTCATTTTCTATACTGAGCTGTTTCATACATTTTGTTTAACTTTTTTTTCAATAAAGAACAAAGATTTTGTGAATGATTGAATAACGTTATAAAATTTGACATAAACAGGAGCAGAAGATGCCATCTTAGAAGAATTCAATGTCTCACACGTTCCTGTTGACGCTGAACGACTTTTCCAAACCATGGTTCAAGCTTCTGGAAAGTTGGTGCTCACCGATAAGTTGTTGCCAAAGTTAAAGACAGATGGTCACAAAGTTCTCATATTTTCTCAGATGATCCGAGTTTTAGATGTTATTGAAGACTATTTGATACATAAAAAGTCTGTTGTCTTGTTACTAATGTTATCATTAAATTTCATTTTTGTAACTGAGTTCAATTGAGCAGCATTTTCGGTCTGTAATTTCAATTTTTTCTTTCTAGGTATTTGTACGAACGTATAGATGGTCGGATACGTGGCAGTTTGCGACAGGAGGCCATTGACAGATTTTGCAAGCCTGATTCTGATAGGTTTGTGTTTCTGTTGTGCACGAGGGCTGGAGGGCTTGGAATCAATCTCACTGCTGCTGATACTGTCATCATTTATGATTCTGACTGGAACCCGCAGAATGATCTACAGGTAAGTCTTTTCTTTAATCATACATCTATTTCAAAAATGAACTTACTTTAAAATTGTCATTAGAGTAATATTCAGGTGTGTTTAAAAAAAATATTTATGTTTCAGTTTATTTACAATATTAATATTAATTAATTATTGCATTAAAATTAAAAAACTTTTATTAATAATCTGCTTGCAAACAGGCACAAGCTCGATGTCACAGAATAGGGCAGCAGAAATCAGTCAAGGTGTATAGATTGATAACGAGAAACACTTATGAAAGGGAGATGTTTGACAGGGCATCACTGAAGTTAGGACTTGATAAGGCTGTACTGCAATCTATGGGCTCTAAGGATTTTAATTCATCTGTAAGTTTTTCTATCACTTTGATTTTAAAATCTTTAGTTTCTTATTTTAACAAATTACTTTAAAGCACTTGTTATGACATTTAGCACAATTACGTTAGTTTCTATTTTCCTATTGTTAATCCAATTATCTCAGAACCAACTGTCAAAGAAAGAAATTGAAGATTTATTGAAGAAAGGGGCATATGGAGCCTTGATGGATGATGATAATTCTACAAGCAATGATTTTTGTGAAGAAGACATCGACCACATTCTACAAAGGCGCACGCAAGTCGTTCAAGTGCAAGCAGGAGTTAAGGGCTCAACATTTGCAAAGGCCAGTTTTTCACTGTCGACCAACCGAATGGATATTGATGTCGATGATCCACACTTTTGGCAGAAGTGGGCCAAGAAAGCAGATCTTAATGTAGATCAGCTCATGTCTGCTCATGAAAACAAAGAAACTGTTAGTTGAAAAATTTAAATAGTTTAAAAGCAGTCTCCTGATAACTGCTGCATTCATCATCAGTTAAACATTTGGCAAAATTAATTGATAATTTAATATTTCTGATTTAATGACAATATTTCCAGAGTGGCCTGATTATTGAGATGCCGAGACAACGTCGTCAGGTGGCCAGATACGGCAAACAAGATGAACCAATCCGAATGTCAGACCTCGAGTCAAGCGGCGGGTCGGACGATGATGAGGATGGCAAGGGTAGAAGTGGAGGCAATGAGGAAGGTGCTGATGATGATGACGGTCATTCTAAACCAAGATATTCAAGAAATGAATGTTACAATGTTGAAAAGTGCATACTGATTTTTGGGTTAGTCAATTGTTTGTGCAGAAATAGAAAGTTTTAAAATTAATTTTAATATAACTTTTTCAATTTTTTATCATGCTTGTTTTTCATTTTATGTTAAAATTTTAAATCATTGCCTTCAAAAAGATGGGGAAGATGGAGCACCATATTGGAACATGGTAGGTTCAAGAAGAAACTGGCTGAAGATGACATTAGAAATATAACTAGGGCGATTGTTAGTTCCTCCTTATTTGCATTTATATTTCTTTTACACTTCATGATTTGTTGTTCAATTTGTTAAAAAGTTTTTGACTTGCAGTGTCCATGTTACAAATAAACTTTATTTATGCAAAAGTATACGTTTTTTTGTCCAACAGTTGTTGTACAGCTTGAAGCATTATGACGGAGATGACAAGATCAAGATGTTCATCTATGACCTTATTTCTCCTTCTCAGGATGGCATGGAAAGCAACTGCAGAAATCATTCTGGTGAGGCCACATTATTGGTTTTAAAAGTCATTTAATGAATTCTATCTAGTTTTCTTACATCTTCTGATTCTTAAATACCTCTTTTAACAAATTGTATGTTAGGCTTATCAGCTCCAGTTCCTCGGGGACGAAAGGGTCGCAGAGGTCAAATAAACAAAAAGATTATTGAGTCTCCAAGCAGGAAGTTTGATGGTGATTTGAAGAAAATTGATCTTGACTTGGATAGATTCATATCTGATCCTAGCTATAAGAAACATCTGAAAAGACATGCCAATAAGTTAGTAGGCCGTCTCATCTTTGATTTTAGTATTATGCTTTTGTTCGAGTATTTTATTAAAATTATTTTTAAATTTTATTTAGGTATGCCATTTCTATAAAATTTAATACTGTTTGGACTAAATGGGATAGTTTTTGCTGATTGAAACTGCTATTTTGAAAATTTTTTCCCAACAGTTTTTATTTGATTTATAAGTTTGTAAGATTATAATCAGGCATGAGGTATAAAATATCTTGGCTGTGGTGCAGCATATTTAAGGCTTAGTTGAGGTCAGTGAGTGCTGGGAGTATCGTCGGCTTGCTGCACTACTCTAAATCATTACATCCATGTCTACTCAAATTTTAGCTCTGAATTTTTTGTGCCTTCATCTAGTTTTCCATTTGTAAATTGTTTTATTTTTGTATAATAGAACAGACAAACTCAATCAGTAAATATGCTTATAAAGATGCTTAAGTAGAAGAACCGGATCTAATTTTGTAACTATTTCAGAACACTCGTAACAACATTTTAAACAAACATATCTGTGTTATCAAACTGACTGCAATTTTGTTACCTGTCAATATCTCACTAATATGCTACGTTATTAAATTCAGGGTACTGTTAAGAGTGAGACTTCTCTTTTATCTACAGCACACCATCATTGGCAATCAAGCTGAAAAGATTCTTCAAGATGCTAATTACAAGTAAGTCGTCTGCTTTCATTTATTCAGTGGTTTCAATGGTTTATTGATTGGGTTATTGATTAGTTAGTAGGATCATTATCATTCTAAAACTTTGAATCTTTGAGAAACTTGATAATGCCTTAGACTGTTGTAGCTATTTATGTTTTTCTAAAGCGGTTATATTATACACATGCAGAATCATAATTTAAAAGATTGTTGTTGAGTTAATATCATTATTGTCACTGCCTACTTGGGTTTGATTGCTAAAATTTGATGTCCTTGTGCAGGGATGTGGACATTGTGGTTCCCCGCATCGACACCGACCTGCCATTCGACTGGTGGGACCTGGATGCTGACAAGTGCATGCTCATTGGAGTCTTTAAACATGGTGTCCATTTTTTGTTCTTCTAATTATCTTTCAAATGTTTGCTAAATGCTATTTTATCCCGTTGTACTTTCTAAAATTTATTTATCTCTATTGCTATTACTTTTAATTTTGAATTGTTTTGAAACATTTGTATTTATATGTTCTTGAAACGCTGAAGGCTATGAGCGTTATAACGAGATGCGCAACGATCCTGCTCTGTGCTTCCTTAGCAAGTGTGGACCAGCACCAAATGATGCCACTAACAGCAGTCAGATGGATATTGATGAAAATGACGATGACGAAGAAATGAGGTTGCTATTGTTTCTCATTCTATTTACATTTTGTTTCTTATTATATCAATATTCATTTAGGATATTTTAAGTTTTATCAAGATTGGATTCATAGATTTGTTTGTGATTTTCATTAATTTTGAGAAAAAATAAATTGTAGGGATGATGACGACGACGATGATGAAGAAGATCGCAAACAAACAAGAAGAATTAGTAACAAAAAGAAGCAAAAACAGCTATCAAGCCTTAAAACTAACTCCTACAGCAGCAGTGCTGACATCAAGACCAGTGATAATAACAACAAAGTTAATGCTGAAGGCTATGGTAAATATATTTCAGCTTAGAATTTCTATTTGAATTTGTGTTTACTCTGTTTTTAAAATTAAATTTACTATTCTTAGCCTTTTTATGTTGAATTATTCCCACATCAATTGAATCAAATAAATTTTGAGTCTTAAAATTTGACTATTTTTTTAACCGCCACTATTCAATTTATTCAGTTTTGATATGGTTAAATGATTAAGTCAATTTCATCTTCAAGCCTGTTTGTTATAATTTACTCAATAAGAATGAATATTGTTTGGCAGATGAACTGTCTGGAAAACTGCCATTCCCGACATCCTCTGATTTGAACCACAGGCTTAGAAGGATTATAACAACTTACCAGAAGCTCTACAAAAAAGAACTAATGAGGCAGGAGCAGAGGGAAAAGGTTAGTAATCTCATCAGTGTATTTGTTGCAACTTTTAGGTTAATGTACTGTGCTGGAGCACTTTCATGTCAATACTGTGAAGTTGCTGTTTGAGTTTTGCTGTCATTGGCCAAGTTTCTACTATTTGGTTACATTTGGTTTTCATGTTTATGACATCTTGATGCACCGAGGGTTTTTAAAATGGTATCCAAAAATTCAAATCTCAGTGAATATTACATTGAAATCATTTATATGGTATCATTTTGGATATCATTATCATGGTATCATTTATATGAAATCATTTTTATGGAGCTCTCTATTAATTTTCGATAGTCGCATTATGTTTTGATGAGTTCATAATATAGTTTATCATCTTCTTTTTTCCGTTTGGTATCGCAGAAATTACAGAAACGCGAGCAGTTTGACCAAGTGCTGAAGGAAAGAGAATTGGCCAGGAAGGCCGCCATGCAAAAGTTTGTAATTTTTTTTCAATTTTTACATTTTTTTATGTTTTTTACAATTTTCAATTTTCACTTAGAAATTAATGCATATAATTTTTATAATTTAAATTTTTATTTGTTAAACTATTTAATTATTTCGACTAAGTTTTCATTTTACAATCTAATTATTTATATTAATAGTTAGTACTTTTTTCTCTATTGAAAACATGGTTAATTCATTGAGATTCAAAAGAGATTTTAAATCAGATTAATTCGTATTATATCATGTTTGTTGTTATTCCACAAAAACACCTATTTACACCAGAAATATTAATTATTGTTAATATCGTTAAGGTTATTATTATTAATATTATCATGTGATTGTAATGATGACGTCATTACTGCATAGCCAATCATCTCTGCCATCCACTGCCCAACTAACAACTGCTGCAATGAGTTACGTAGCCTCGACAAGCACAATACTTTCCTCTGTTGCTGGCTCTGTCCTGCCTCATTGGACCTCTGTGTAAGAACATTTCACATGCACGATATCATTCCTCCATTCTTGCCCTAACCTCATCACTACACCTTACTTAGTTTCCTTACTTACCTGGATTATTTTTTATTCAGCAAAGAGTGTTACTTTTCTTTATTTGCTTTTCTCATAGCTTCTTGATCTATGTTCGATTTATTGACTAAATTTAGCGTAGATACGTCGGTGAAGTTTGCGTTTAACTCGTTTATTGTTATTGTACTAGTAGTAGTAGCAATATAGTAGAAATCAGAATTGAACGTTAACATCTGCTGTTGCACCGGGTTTTTTTGCAATAAATTTGCTTTTGTTCTATTTGATCGTCGTCTGCTTGATCACATTTTGTTTGCTGTACATACATATTCATGCAAACAGACGCATTGTTAGGTGCATTTTATATCATTTTAAAGGTTTCAATATGTTTTTAAGATTTCATTTCGTTTGTTTTTCTTTGAATTATTTAGCATCCTCATCATCAATCCTACACTGTTTTTAAAAATTTTTATCTGCAATATGGTAATGTAACATTTTCTTTGGGTACATGGTAACATTTACCTTGAAACAATGGCAACATTTAAATTAAATTCTTTCATGCAAGTTTTGAGGAAAGTTCATCTCTGAAACTTGACATGATGTGACAGTGTAGAACTGACTCCTAGATGTAATCACATCAACAATTTTTTTTAAAATGAGCTGTGAAATAGTGATTTTAAGAATAATGATGTTTGCTTGATGCAGTTACGAAATATTAGTATATTCATCTTGTCATCTTAGAGGTTTAAAACATGCTGACAAATAAAGTTGATCATGAATGATTTAAAAAGCAAGTTAATGCGCTTCAAAGGTGAAAAAACAATCTCCGTAATGAGATGTAAGGTGAGTGGTATCAATCATTGATTTGGATATTGATTTTTTATGGATATTAGGTGGGGCTTGCCTCTATATCTCCAAGCTTTTTAAAATGAGTTAAATAATATTGTTGGTGGTCATGTCAATCTTGTCAAGTGTCCAGCTAACTTCATCCGAAGAAACACAAAATTTTTTTTATTTTTCACGTATTTATCTGAAGTTAACACGTTTAGTTACTTTTCATTGTTTGTTTTTTTTTATTATATTGGTGTTGTATATATGATTTATATAAAATATTTAATTTGCAATGGTAATTATGTGGATTGCATTGCAGTTACTACTTACTACTAATAATGATAACATTCATTTTGCATGCAATTTCATTTTTTTCTCAGTTGTTTTCAGAATATTGGCTGTGGTGGGTGTTATGAAAAACTGTGTGTGAACGTTTGCTAATTTTTATAGCATAGCATATTGCCAAATGTTTGTTAGTTATGCAATATTTAATTTTTAATTGCTCCTAAATACTACTTCCTTGTGCCATATATTGTTTGCTAACTATCTGGTAATTTTATTTTATATATGGCATGAATATAAAATTTGTTAGCTTCATTTCAATAACCAAAATCATTTTTGAATTAATGAAATGTTTTGTCTCAAATTTAATAACTAATTTTCTGTTTCTTAAAAATATTGCAACAACTATTTATTTTGCTAATTAACTCGCAGCAGATGGTCGAGAAGAGAAGAAACAGAATTTTACAGATTGGTGTCATCGTTCGGAGTGGAACGCGATCCAATTACTTCAGAGTTCAAGTGGAACAGGTTCAGATCACTTGGACATTTGGATAAAAAGTTTGACGAGACTCTAACTGAATATTACAAAGCATTTATACGCATGTGCTGTCGAGTTTGCAAAAAGACCAGTAACGTCACAACGACAGCAGTAACACCTGCAACAACATGCAGTAGCAACGTTAACAACAGCGCCAGTGCAAGTGCTAGCAATCCTCTTGATGATGTTAGCACTATAAATAGCGATGTAAATAATGCCGATGTAAATAGCGACGTAAATGATGTCAAAAATGTTGAGACTGCAAACGAAAAGAATGATGCTAGCTTCGTCGGTAACACCGTTTGTGACAAAGATAAATCTGAGGCAAAAACATCAGAAGATGATGTCAATGCTGCAATTACTAATAACAAAGACAAATGCAATGTAAACAGCAATAATAACGCGGTCAGCAATAATAATAACAATGGAAGTGGCAATTTTGTTGCTCCAACTGGTGCTACATTGGATGATCGTAAGAAATTTTTTCTGTTTTTCATTTTGTTTCATTTTTTTTATATTTATATTTTGTTATATTTTTCAAGTTGTTAATTATTCATATTCATTCATAAAGTTCGTTTATTTTGTTCCGCAGCTAACTTCACAAGTGATCTGGCAGTGGAGACAATAACCGAAGAGAGGGCATCACGATGTCTGGCCCGAATTGAACTCATATGTAGAATCAGAGAACGAGTTTTGATCCACCCTCAATTTGAAAGTAGACTCTCCCTTTGTCAGCCATCTCCAGATCTTCCCGATTGGTGGATATGTGGCAAGCATGACAAAGATCTCCTACTTGGTGTTGCAAAGTAGGTTTTTGTTTAAAAATTTTACAAATCAATTAAAAATTTTAGAAGTATTTTTTTAGAAAATGGTAAATCATTTGGTTTAAAAGCAGATAACTATCTATGTATTTATTTCAATTAATAACGCAACCTTTAAAGTTTTTTATTCATAAATTTAATTTTAATTTGTAAATGCGCTTTCTGGTTAATAATTTTTATTGGAATTTTACTTATTGCAGACATGGGCTGTCACACATGGAAATATCCATCCTTTGTGACCCTGAGTTATCCTTCTGCAAGCTAGAAAAAGAAATATCTGGGCTGCCTATTTCTGGACCCAATACTCTTCAGTTTAACTCCAAGAATTTCATCTCATCTATCACTTCATGTCCCAATCTTAATTCCGCTTCTTCTGATGTTACTACTGTTAGTGCAACTATCGCCTCAACTTTCACCGCTCATACTACTACAACTACTACTCATACCATTAGCACTGCCACAACTACTGCTGCTGGTACTAATGTTGTAGCAGCTGTGTGCAGTGTGAATGCCGATGGTGCTGCTTCAAACGCCTGCTCATCCACTGAACTACAGTTAAATGCAGATGTTGAAGAGAGTGCTAAGACATCGGCGGACACAACAAACAATGAGATAGACAAAACTTTGAAGATACCCGACATTGATAAGGTTGTTTCAGCTGATGAACCAATGGAAGTCGAGGAAAAGCAAGATGAATGCACACAAAGTGGAGATGATGATAAGAACATTGAAATGTCTCATGAGGAAGAAGAGATAAGAAGCGCAAAAGAGATTAAAACGTGCCCTGATGAATTAAATAATGATATGAAAGTGGATGCCCTCGAGATCCAATGCCACAAAAGTTCTTCTGTAGATCCTCTTACTGAGGAACCTTACAGTGGTCACGTCGATATGTCGTTTATGGAGGATAAACAAGAGACCGATAGGAGGTCACCTTCTCCACCACCATTGTCACCTCAAACACAACTTTTTGGAAAAGCTGATGATCTTGGTGCTGACATTGGAGAAGATGATGGCGGTAACACAGCAGTTGAAGAAGGTTTCAAATCTTCTTCTCCTCCTGACGCTGGTGCAAGTTCATTGGAAAGTAATAATAAGACAGGCGGAGATGTTGATAGCGAAGTTGATAACAAATTAGTTGCAGAAAACAACCAGCAATTCAACAATTCTACGGACGGATCTAAAGAAATAATTGCAAATAAAGATTCAAATGGCAACAATAAAAGCAATGAAGATGCTTGTAATGAGAAGGAGAGTATTCAGAAAGTTAAAGACAGCAATATTGAAGGAAGCCTTTCTGATGTAAAGGAGATAAAAGTTGAGAGTACTCAATCTGACACTTTCACGGCATCGTCTGCCTCCGCTCTTCAAACGCCGGCAGATGTGAAACCTCTTTATGTTGCAAGCGATCGCAAGAGAGCGAAAAGGAGAGAGGGTATTGATTATAGTGATGTGAGTTGTTTTTGATCAACATTTAAACTTTATATTCATTGATGATTTTGCAACAAAATATTTTTTCTTGTTACATTATTTTATCTGTAGATTGACGATTTATTAACATGACGGTTGAATAATTTTATTTATTCCTTGGTTAGCTGTACTCTGACACTCAAGATGCAATCCCAAAATATCCTGAGGTCTATCTTTCCCAATGGCCTAAAGTCAGTTTTTGCTTGAATTTTTGATATTTTGTAACTTATTAAAAGTGAAATTTGGTTATTATGTAGAAAGATCTTAGCTATTTATTTGACTTATTTGATCACTTAATCTCTACTTTTCAAATATTTTTCATTACATTGTTTGCATTGAACATAGATCTATCTCTATGTACGTTCTATGTACGTGTGTGTGCGCATTTCATTAATATTATACGAAAAACAAAAAATGATTTTAAAATTGATTTTTATATTTATTTATAGGATCGAGTTTTGATTCATCGTCTGGAAAATTTGTGCAACTGTGTTGAAAAAGGAGAATGGCCAACAGCTTACAAATTTCTTAACACCATTCCAGTCAGTTTAGGAGGTGGATTAGCGGGAGTAGGAGGTGGGAATGTTGCTGGAGGTGTGGGAAGTGCTGTCGGAGGAGGTAGGGACTCTCACTGCAGTACTCCAACCATTCCGGATACCCCCACTACTGGAGGGTGTGCTACACCGATCATGGGTGTTGACCTGTCTTATTCTAATTTACCCAATATTGAAAAAATTGTAAGTTTTTACTGGATTGTATTTTGCTGTGTTATTTTGTTAGCCTGATCTATCTTGTAGGTTTTAAAAATCTTTGATTCAATTACATTTTTAAATTAAATACATTTTGTAATTTTTTTTATCTGTCTAATGCTTTCCAATGGTTTCTTTTTATATCAAGATTGTTGTAAAATTTATTCAATGAATATTCGCAATGATCATTGACAATCTCACTTGCTTGCAGTCTGAAGCACTGGATGGTTCCCTGCCAAGAAGGCGCCACAGAAGGACCAAAGCGGAAATGGAAGCGGACAGAAGTTTGTTCTTCATTTTAATCTTCATTTGTTCAATTTAATATTCTTTTGCTTATTTTTATCAATAGTTGCCATTTTCTTACGCAAATGATTTTCACCCAAAGTTGATTTTTTTTTTAATTTTTGCTGTGGTAAGTTAGAAAGTAGAGTAAATTAATTGTTATTAACCTTGTCAACTTGACAAAACATGTAAAAATTAATTTTCAGTTTCAAGACTTCGTAGTTACTTAGCTGCTAGCCGATCAGGTACCCCATTGGAAGGCACCAGTCGTCTGAGTCTATCTGATGTTATTATGTCTAGACGTCTGCTGTCTGGCAGGGGTGTTGATGATGATTCTGGAACTAGTAGCACTGAAGTCATGAAGGTCGAATTTGTTGATTTGATAGATGCCGATTTTCATCCCCACATTTGTCATCAAGTTAACGTTACCATCAGTTGTAAACAGTTTTGAGTTTTGTTTCTTGTATTTTATTATTTTTTATACAGAAATAATCATGTGTTGCATATGTTAAGCTTTTTAAAAAAATATAAACTAGATCTTGCATTTAACTTGCCAAACTTTTTCTTGAACAAAACCGTCAAAATTTGTAACATAAATATTAAATGTAAAATATGAGATATATAGATAGATATGCACAGTTTATTGTATTTCTGATTGAATTTTACAATTCAACTATTTCATGCTGATTTTAAATAAAATATTTTTAAAGTCTCTACTACAATAAAATCAACATCTACATAGTATATAATGGTTTACTCTGTAACAAAAATTAGGATGCTGACATGATGAAAGCTTTTAAACGGAGAAGGGGAAGAAAGTCAAAAATAGATAAGATGCTTGAGGCAGCAGCAATTGAAGCCATGGTGAGAGGCACTGGAACTGATGCGTTTCTAGCAGGAGTTCCCGCCACTTCTGCTGGAAGCGCTGGTGGCAGTGGTAATCTCTATGCCGGACTGGGTTGGTGCATTGTATTATTCATTCATCAGCGGATCAACCATTTAAATCTGCCTCAATCTTATTCGCTTTTTAGTTTTAATCAAAATACGTTTCAATGTTATGTTTAAATATGATGTAATTATTACGTTTATGAAGATTGTAAACGCTTCGTTAATGTAGACTTTGTTTGAAATAAGCTTTTTTTATATAATTCTATATCAATTTTTTCAGCAAGAAGATAAAAATGTGCGTGTTTTATTTCTTATTTGTTGATCTATTTAATACAGATTGGACTAAACTTCTACAACAATCACCTTCAAACACTGCTTCCAAGAAGGATGATGACGAATACGACGATGACGAGGATGACGATGACGACGATGAAAACTGTCTTATGAGTCGGGAGAACAGGTTACTCAAAAAATGTCAATCTGTTGTTGAGTTTGATTAGTTGACGGTACTGCCTGTAATAATAGTAATAATAATAATAATAATAAATAAATAAATTATTATAATAGGGATACATAAATTACAACGAGCACACCGTGCAAACATTTCCATTTATAAAAAGTGGTATGCATTTTGGTGTACGCTGTCTTGTAGCTAAAGTGAAAAAATTTATTTATACATAAAATTTTTCTAAATTAATGTCGCAAATATTCTTTTGAATATTATCAATTTTTTTTTATTTATTAATATATAACAGTTAATTAAAAGAAAATGTTAGTTTTTACTTGAAACTCATATCAAAATTGTCAATCTTGAAATGGTGTAGAACCTCAGTTGATATTTTATTATGCACTCATTTGATTTAAGCCTTACAAAAGTTGGAACCAGAAGTAAGGGGTCAGAAAATTTTCTCCTTATTCAGATAAAGTCTGACTCTGACTCTTTGCTTACAACTTATTGAAAACTTTTTATTTTTTTTAAATTATTTTTTTTAAATGGAAATATTCCCCGTTATCAATTATGCTTTTGATAATATAAGCTGGATACATACAAATTGCGTTTCAAGGAAATTTAATCTCAAAACTTCTTCAATTGTTAATGAGATGTTTACGCAAATCTGTTGCAGTGCCAACTTGTTGTCCACCATATCATCCCTGGCTGGTGTTCACCCAGTCTGCTCTGATGGGAAACTGCCAGCATCCTCATCAATATCTTCACTGGCATCATGCAAACCTTTCACATCAGTCACAGTTTCCAATGTGGCCACTCCCTTGTCCTATGATCATCATCCACATACCAACACAAAACTGGAAATCAACAAGAACAAAGAAGATGAGTACAACAAACTAATTAAGTCTGTTGCTTCATACCTCATCCCTCCAGCTGCTTTATCGGGCTTAACAGTGTCGTCATCTTCATCATCATCATTAATTTCATCATCTTCCCTGTCATCATCATCGTCGTCATCATTACTGACTTCATCGTCTTTCATGTCATCGTTGAAGCATCATGCTCCTACGGTTTCTGACTTGCTTCAACAGAGAGATAGCCTAGGTAATGTTGAAGACATTGCCATGGAAGAGAGAATTCAATCTGAGGTTGGCTGGCTTAAATGCATCACTAACTAAATAATGTTATCTTATAACGGTACGAATTTGAGCTGTGTTGCACTATGATGGCTTTAGTTGCATCTCTTATCATAATGTTTGCTTCATGCTATCACAGCTGGAGATGGTAGTCAGTCAACGTCAGAAACGAAGATCCAGACTTGACCCTTCAAAAATTGATGTGGACAACATGGACGGAAGCGAAAATGTTTCTGTGGTTGATCGACTTACGGGCAAGAAGATCACAGGTGCCAAGGCTCCTCCTATCAAGCACCTTCAGGAGTGGCTCGTGAGGAATCCAACTTATGACGTTGATCCAAAGTGGTCGCACATTGTTGCAGCTAGGGTTAGTACTGCTCTGATTTTCTAACTCGTATTATTGGTAAAATTATCTAATTCATATTATAAAATTAATTAATGAGAAATTCTGATTGATGTTACTGTGAGTAACAAAACTAATGATCAGATGATGACCACTCAGCCATGCTAATACTGAAGAGTTACTTCACTGTTGTGATTTGAACTCTCATGTGTTCAACTTGTTCTCTGATTATTCTGATGATCATTTTCACTGATTTATGTGATAATTATGATTTAAATCAATAATTCATTAGTTATTTTATGATTTAAGTAAATTTTTCAACTTAAATGTTTTTAAAATAATATTCTGTTAAAAATTGTTTTTTGTGACTAAATCCATATAAAAAACTCTTTTGTTTGCAATTATAATATTATCTAATTAACACTAAGTATTATCTCTAATATTAACTCTAATATTATATAAATAACATAATAATAATGTTGGTTAATTAATTAATGTGTGCATTTATTCATCTTACCAATCAGATCTTATTTAATCAACGCCATTCTGCATGCAGGCTCAGTTGACTCCAGATCTCCAGTCTCGTGTGCTCACTCCAAGTAACAGAGGAAGAAAAACTGGATCGTCTACAACAACACCTTCGATGTTGGCGTCATCTTCATCTTGCACTTCTCTATCATCATCGTCATCTCTCTCATCGTTACCATATTCTTTTTTTTCACATTCATCAACATCGGCACCTTCTTCATCAGCTTATGCTGGTCTCGGATCTTTGAAGCCATCATCAACATTAACAACATCTACATCTACAATAACATCATCCGTGCCATTGTCATCTTCATCATCGATGACTTCCAATGATTTCTACAATTCGATGGCCAGTTTGATGGCAGCAGCCAATCAGTCAGGGAGCCTCATGGGTCTTTCACCATTTTCACCATCGCTTGGTGCATTTGCCCTTTCAAATCCCATGTATGCAGCCAGCCTTGCAAGTTTGGGTCTCATTCCTCCTTTGCCAGGAGGAGCATTCGGCTTTGAAGATTTCATGGGAGTAGCTGGAGCTGCTAGCGGATTGTTAGGCGACGGTGGAAATGCAAGTAAGAGTGGCAACAGTAGTAGTAAGGATGTTCCAAGCAGATCACCATCATCTTCGTCCAGGAAGAAAGATGATAATGGAACTGGTAAAGGTAGCTTAAAAAATAATAGTTCCACCAGCTTCAATAGTGGTAGCAAATCTAGATCTGATGATAGCCAGAAGAAAAAGACCTCATCTAAGTCATCGACATTGACCAATCAATCGGCACCATCCGCAGCAACCTCATCTTCGTCATCACTGCTGTCATCATTTCCTGATATGGATATGACCAGTTTGTTCAATGGAACTTCTCCACTGTCATCACTGATGTACAATCCTTTGTTTTTCAATCAACTTTGTGCTCAGAGTTTAGCATCATTTAACCAAATGCCACAGTCGTCATCACCAACATCATTTTTATCATCATTCATGCCCCCTCCTATTGATATTCCTATGCCATCATCTTCATCATCTTCTTCAAAAAGTAAACATGATGAAAAGAAACCATCTAGTAACAATAGAACATCTAGTAAAAATTCTAGTAGTAAATCATCTTCATCATCTCATGGTAGCAGCAGTCAGACCAGACCACCTTCATCATCTTTGTCATCGACACCGTCATCTACCAAGAAGAACATGGATCCAAAAAAACCAATGGCCGCTCATGAAAAGTCAACATCGTCTATGCATTCTTCCAAATTATCACCTCCAATGATGGCACACTCACATAGCGACAACACAAATAGGAAACCACTGAGTCCTCCACTTTTGTCATCATTTAAAAATCCAATAGATTCATTTGATATGAGTTACTTGTCTAAAGCGTCGACCTCATCTCTTCTCACTGGCGGCCAATTTAATGCAGGAGATGTTGACGAACCTGAGGATCTCAGTGTTTCTTCTAAGAAAAAATCGGATAGTTATTCTAATAAGAATAATAGTAATAATAATAACCATAATAAAAATAGCAATGATAATATTAATAAGCAATCCCAGTCTTCATCATTGGCATCATCTTCTTCATTTCCGTCATCATCTAAATATCCACTTTATGATAAATTGTCACCCAGTTTACCTTTTTATGTGGACCCTTCGTATTCATCATCTCTGTCGTCCTCTGCTCTTTCATTTCTCAATCCACCCTTCCCTGATTTCAACTTTGGATTGAAGTCTCCCTTTGAGCCGCCTCTGCCAACCATGATGCCCCCACTTGCTGCTCCTCCTCTTCCATCCAGTCACACGGAAAGCAAGCCTACTAGTAAGAAAGAATCTTCATCCAAGTCATCAAAGAAGAAGGACCATGCATTACCTCCATCATCTTCCTCGTCATCATCGCTGCCTACATCATCCTCATCATCGCTTCTTGATACTGATCCAAGGATGCTCATGTCTCATTTAATGATGTCAGGTGGAGACCTTTCAAAATATGCCATGATGGATGAACAGCTTCGAATGATGGCTGCCATGGAGTTTCCTCCTTTCTACATGCCACCATTTGGAATGGGTTATCCTGGCGTCTATCCTGATATTATGTCAGGCATGAGTACAACTGGCGGTGGAGGTAATAGCAGTGGAAACAGTAAGAAATCAGGTGACAATTCCAAGGAAAGTAGTGGCAAGAATTCTAAGAAAAATAATGATGGTAAATCTTCAAAAAAATCTTCGGAAAGTAGTTCAAAATCAAAGACTCAAAGATCACATCAATCATATGAACAAGAATTAGATGTAGAATCCTCTGGAGCAGTTAATAGAAAACTATTTCATGAGAAACCAATTGACTCAGAAGGAAGTGTTAAAGCACCGTCATCTCAGTCAAAATTTTCGTCATCATTCAATATTGACCAATTAACCATCCCATCATCATCTTCATCTTCTTCGTTTGTAGACCCATCACCATTTTTACAAACTTTCCATCCCTCGTTCTCACTTTCATCTTTGGCGTCAGAAAGCAATGCTAGTCCATATGAACAGGAAACTGCTATTGCTTCATCGAATGAGGCGAAAAAATCAAACAAATTAACTCCTAAATCAAGGTCAAAACTGGGTCTCATAGATTCCATTAGCACAAAGTTGCTGGCTAAGAAGCAACAAAATGTTGAGGATAAGGAGGAGAGTGTTGTCAGCACTAAAAACTCAAAGAACATGGAACCAAGGGCTGATGTTGAAGAGTTTGATGGCAATCGTCCTACCAGCAACACTCGACCAGTTTTGCAAAGTCATTCACCTGAAGCAGGTAACTTTGATACGATACAAAATACTTTTACAGATCAAGATAAATGTAACGATGACGATGACGACGATGCAGACACCGTTGACAACGGACATCAAGAAGATAAATTTGATGACGACTTTTTAGATGAAGCTAACGATAAATAGTCATTCGTTCGTCCTAGGCAAAAGAGAATTAAATTAGCATTTTTTTATTAAGCTACATCTTTTTAAAATTTTAGTGTTTGAGTTTTGGAACTTGTATGTGAACACCGCTATAGTTAATATCATCTAACGTCAGATTTGTTATGTCTGTGTTTGACCGTCACTAGTTTTTTGTTTTGGTACACTGTATGAATGAACAACAACATTGTTTTGCAGTAAAATTTTATTATGTACACAATTATAAACATCATTATTTTTATAATTTGTCATTAATATAAAAATCGTGTCTCTTAAAAGCGTTTAATGTCTCAATTATGATTTATTTTTTTTTAGATATTTTAGTGTATATAAATAATTTAGCTTACAACATTAAACATATTATATATTTTTGCATGTGTTTATTATTATGTACTAGTTTTTCAAATTTTAAATGTAAATACACTCTGTGTTTTTAAAAACTGGTTTTCTGGTATTATTGAAAAGTTAACTGAAACAGTAGAAAAAAATCGCTCACACATTGTTGGTTACCAAACTCGAACAAAGCAAAATAATGTGAAGTAATGCATTTAAATGTATCTGTTTTAACTAATCATCATCTGAATCCAAAGCTGCTCTTCTTCTATCAAACTGAAACAAATAAGTTATTTTTAAATACTTAGTCCTTAGTTGAAGTTAAAAATTAATTGTTGAAACCTTTACAGTAGTTGTTGTTTTAGTCTTTTCAGATATTTGTTCTAGCAGTTGTTTCAACTGGTTCTCTCCTATTTTGCTTTGAATTTGCCCCTTCTGTGCCATTTGTATGAGCATTGATTCAACCATTTTTGCTTTGTCAGGTTTTGTGAGGGCAATGGTACTCACTGTTGAATAAAAGTTTTCAATTTTAAGGTTTTACATTAAATTGAAATGATCAGACCTTACATCTGGCCCGAGCCTCTTGATCTAATACTTGGGACAGGATAGTGTTTTTCATTTCTTGTTTTTGGATCATTTCCTCTTGCTCCTCTTTGTTTTGACCTTGACGACTAAGTCCCTAAATAAATTTTGATGTACAAGTTTAATTTTACAATTTGATAGAAACGTTTTAATATATTTTCCAAAAAACAGTGATCTTGATTTGATGAATTTGCAAACTTGTTTACAATTATATTTTAATGATTCATTTTAGATGACTTTAACAAATTAAAACATAATCACTGGTAAAATAAATGAGATGAAATTTTGATGCTAGTATTTTACTAAACAAAGAAGAAATGTTATCCTATAGTCTAAGCTCATAAGCTTAAGCTTTACCATCTTTTTTCATTATCTTATAAGCTTTGGCTTACATGGTTGGTGTAAAAATTATATTAAATTGACAACAAAAATGAGATGTTTCAAACATGTATTTCTATGTAATCTGTAGTCAATCAATCTTCGTTTTGCGTAGTGTAGTGTGATAAAAATATTCAAGACGAATAGCCATCACCTCAAGTCTGCTGCTGTTGTTAACCCCAAAAAGATATAAACTAAATATAAATTTTTAGCATCATTGTAGTAACTGATAATGAGTTTTCACAATCATGTGGATGATCTTTACATTAGAGACTAAAGATGCCATTTCCACCATGTTCAACAGTGCTCCTCAATGAATTCTATAAACAGATGGGTCTTGAAATCCACTCTGAACTTTGTAAGTATGAAGAAGTAGAGAAAAGGGTCAGAAAATAAAAATGCAGATTTAGTATAAGAGTGTTTGACATTAGTTAAAAAATGAGAACGAGGCGTTTAGGTTTAAGTTTAATTAATATATCTGATAAGAACTTTGGAAATAATTTGGATTGAGACTTGTGTGTAAATGTGCAAATTTAAAAAATTATTTTATAATATATAGATAGCCAATGCAAGAGAACAAGATATGCATATTATAAGAAAAGAAAAGAACACGAACAACTAGACAAGCAGCAGAGTTAAAAGCTCTACTTTTGAAGGATAGAGTGTAGAATTAGGAAGACCATGGTAGAGTGAGTTACAATAATAATCATCAATCCTAGGTAAAACCAATGAAGTGAAGTAACTGATGGAAAGAAAGTAGGATCGTCAAGAAAAGGCAAAAGTTTTTTTATTCTATATGTAGATACAAGTGAGAACTTTTAGCAACACTATTAATTAATCTGAGAAGACACGCGCTGGAATCAAAGATAAAGCCTAGACTATGAGACTAGCAATGACAGAGTGCTTGAATTTATTAGGACATTAATAAATAATTAATTCAAACATAGAAGGATTTAGTTTAAATTAATTATTAAAGAAACGGACAGAATGTGGTCAAAAAGAAAACAAAATGTTGTTGCCGTCACCCTTGCCACACGAACAATAACTTGATTTCTTACAAGCATGACAGGCATCTCACAATTTTAAGGAAAGTTAGCTTTGAAAAAATGAAATACAAAAAATATCGCAAAATGTTTTAACCTGCATTTCGGCCATTCTTTTGGCCCTTATTGCTTCCAACTCGTTATCCATTCTTATTCCAGATTTTCTCTTTTTTTTTTGTTTATTTCATTCAGATAAATTAAACAGTAAATTCGAACATTAGGTTAAGTTAGTAGTGCAACTGTAAGGACAATCACTTTTAAGTCTAATGGCAAGTTGAAAACCTTCGAAACATAAAATGTTCGATCATATGCATAGAATCACATAACTAGAATAAAAATGAATCAAAATCGTACGTCTAGAGTAAATGAATGTGGTTTGGTAAGGTGAGGTGTAGTAAGTTGAGGTATGGTAAGGTGAGGTGTGGCACAAATGGTTAGTTAAGTAATAAATAAAATGTTCCCAGTTCTGCTTTGACAAAGCTGCATATTAATTAAATCAATAAATAAATAAATTTTCCAATCAATCAACCACCAACCAACCAATCAATCAATAAGTTTATAAAGCTCTATTTCTGCGATGTTCAACAGTGCTCCTCAATGAATTTTGCAAACAGATGTGTCTTGAGATCCGCTCTAAACTTCGTAAGTGATGGAGAAGTAGTCATAGAAGGAGGTAGAGAGTTCAAGAGAAAAGGGCCAAAAAAAGCAAATGCCGATTTAGCAAAAGAGTGTTTAACACGAGTTAAGAAGAAGCGGGAATAAGAAGATGACCATAAACCGGATAGTTTAGGTTCAATTAATACATCTGATAGGTACTAAGATAATAATTTAGATTGAGACTTATACATAAATGTGCAAATTTTAAAAATTATTTTATTTTTTTTTAGCTAGCCAGTGCAAGAGAACAAGATTTGGAGATGTATAAGAAAAAATAGGGGCACGAACAACTAGACGAGCAGCAGAGTTAAAAGTTTGACTCAAAGGATAGAGTGTAGAATCAGGAAGACCATAGTAGAGCGAGTTACAATAATCAATCCTAGATAAGACTAACGAAGTAACAAGAAGGAGAAGAGTAGGATCGTCAAGAAATGGCAAAAGTTTTTAATTCTACATAGATGAAAGTAAGAACTTCTAGCAACACTATTAATCTGAGAAGAAAAACACATACTAGAATCAAAGATAAAGCCTAGACTACGAAACTTGTGCGAAACATGAGTTTTAGAATCAGGTAAAATAATAGTGGTAAAGTGTTTAGATTTATTACAACAAATTAATTCAAATTTAGAAGGATTATGTTTAAAACACAGAGTCAGACCAAGCGATAATTGAAAAAAGACATGGAGATAGATTATGAAGAACACTATTGAGATTAGATGGAGAAAAAGAAGTATAAATATAAGAATCATCAATATATAGTTGACTAGTGAAAGAAAATGTATTAATAATACGAGGTAGTTTAGAAGTATAAAGTATAAATAGAAGAGGGCTAAGGATAGATCAAAAGCAGAGGAAAAGCCAAGAGCAAGAAGAAGAGTAAGATTACTATTATACTATTAAAGAACGAAAAAATGCAAAACCACAAAAAAATGACAACCAGCAGTGTATAATATACTTCATTAATTAAGACGATAATTTTTACAATATATATATATTCCAAATATATTTATTTAACTGGATTGTAAATATGTAGATTTGATTAGAAAGTCTCACTGTTTTATTTTATTTTAGTGGTTATTTTATCTGTGTTAACGATAATATACTTTGTATTGTTGTTATTGAGTTTAGTTTGGACTATTAGGAAAAGATTGTTCTAACATAACGTTAGTTAATGCTATATCGCTGGTCAAGGATTGTTTATGTGAAATGTCAACTGCCAGTTTCGTAAGATACAATGGATACGTTCCGAGTAAAAAATATGATGGCGTCAGTAGGCTCACAACTGATACAACCCCTGAAGATTTTTTCCATCAGTTCATTCATTTGCGCAAACCTGCCGTGATAACGAATGTTCTGCTTTCCGGTGAGTGGAAAACTTCCAGTTGGACTAAAAGTTATTTAATGGACACTTGCGGGCCCGCAAACGTTCTGATTGAAAAGTTGGAACAGCATAAAGATCAAAAGTTTGGTTACGATGTGCCTAAAATAAATATGCGTTATTCAGAATTTTTGCGAGAAATTAATGCTGGAAATGATAGATTTTATTTGACTACACAAGATCTAGAAAAAGATCACTCAACTTTAGATGACTATGGTATGCCAGAAAGTATAATGTCCGAACCTTTAATTTCATTGAAGAATGATTTTCCGATTAGACCAAAGTTATTAGGTCATCTAATTCCCCATCAAATTTCTTTGTGGCAAGGTTTTAGTAAAAATGGATCTTCATCTGGTCTACATCATGATTTTCATGACAATCTGTACGTAGTTATACGAGGAAGGAAAAGGCAAGTCTGTTTTTTTTGTTACTTAATAACTTTATGTTCAATATAAAAATACCATTCAATTTATTTTTGTTTATTTAAAGATTTCGTCTTTTCCCTCCATCGAATATAGAAAAACTGAAAATATCTGGAAAACCTATTGTCGTCTATGAAAATGGTTTAATAGTTTATGAGAATAAAAAGCATCCAGGGATCATTCCAGTGAGATCCGATGGCCTACCAATGTCATTTATTGCCAGGATGAAGCGCAACAAAGCCAGTGGAGAACTGAACAGAGCTGAGAGAGAGTTGGCGAAATTGGAAAGTTCATCGTTAAGATTTAACTTGGTTGACTCAGAAAGATTGTGTAAAATAACAAAACTAAAAGAAGAAATTGATACATGGGAAAAAGAACTCGATGAAGCTTTACAAGAACTGCTTGGTTATGATGATAGTGATGCAGATGATTATGATGATGATGATGAAGATAAAAATGAATTAAGGGGGATTGGTGGTGATGACACTGGAGAGGGTGTAATATCAATAAATGATGATAGTGATGAAGATGGTGTAGATCATGATGTCTCATCAGCTTCAACAGACTTAACATCAGCAAACATCTCAGGTGATGCGATTAACACAGATAAGGTCAATGCAAATAACGTTAATGAAGTGGATTTATCAGAGCCTCCTGTGTGTAAAAAGCTTTGTTTGGATTCTGATGCTGCTTTGGAATTCAATGTTAATGAAAACAACATTGAAGTAACAAGCAACACAACTTGCAACTTGAAATCAGATGATCATTTGCAAGCATCTATTTTAGATGATGAAAAAAATAATGTCAAACTTGCATCTAAATTGAAACCTAGTTACAAAGAGGTTGCAAGCTCTGAAATAAATACCAATTCTATTTTACCCAACCACTTTTGTAGGGTTGAATTACCCACTAACACAGATGATGAAATTGAAATTTTCAACTGTTTCAATGAGGATTCAGATGATCTAAGATGTTTGGTTGTAACTTTGGGACCTGGAGAAGCATTGTACCTGCCAGCTTCCTGGTTCCATGAAGTCACATCTTATTCTCAAGAGTGCACCTCGAAAGATGATGAAAAAAACAACAATGCAGATGGTGATGTCACATCGAACAACTTTATGGCTGAATGTCGTACTGGTGGATGTGATGGAGGTAAGGATACTGCAGAGAATTTTCAAGACCATCTTGCATTGAACTACTGGTTCTATCCTCCCAATGGATCATCGTATCAACAACCTTACATAGATAATTTCTGGAAAGAGAGATTTGAGGCAATTGAACAAGATGGTGGTTTATTTAAAAAAAGAAAGCAAAGTAGAAGTGTTGATGATGACGTCATATGTTTGGATTCAGAAGATGATGATGATGGTTATGATGAAGAAAGTGATAAGGATGATGAAGATGACTATAATGATGTCAGTGATGAGAAGAGTAACGATGGAAAAATTGAGAAAAATTTCAGAGATGAAAAGGATTTCTGCAACAATGTCTCATCGTCTAGTCATTCCAATGAACTAAGTTCGTCTAAATCTGCTCCATTTGTAATCGATGAAGATGATGATTCAGACTGAATAATGATATGTTGATAACTCAACTGAATTTTTCTAATTTATTACTATTTTTTTTTCAAAGACGTCCGAATTAATATATATATATATTCGAATTAATATATATATATATATATATATATATATATATATATATATATATATATATATATACCCAGACCTACCATGGGGAACTGGGTTTCTGGACACTAAACGAAGATTGATATATATATATATATATATGTATATGTATATATATATATAAACAGTCATAATCAAACGAGTTAGTGATTCAGTGTTTTGTTGTTTTTTGTTGATTATTTTATTTCTAAAACATGATGACATTGTTACAGATTATCTTTACTATGAACAGTTCGACGAAATCTAAAGCCAAAAATCAAGCAAAACTATAAAAAAAAATTGTAAAAATCAATTTAAAATTTTATATTTTTTCTTTAAAATCGATCTCGGCGTTCCGTCGTCGTTGAACTTAGCCATCGCTGTTCTTGGAATCGGCTGGAGCGTGCAGACCGAGGAAGCTTTTTTGGGCGGTTTTGTTTTGTTGGTATCGATGTCGTACGAAGCGGTTCTTTCAAGCATGAATCGCCAGGTTCGATCGCTTTGTGACGGTATTCGAGGCAACGAGTTAATTTTAAAAGACGCGTCTGAACTATCGGACTCGTTAGAATTTTTACTCGTCAAATGATTCCATACCTTCCTGTTGGCGTCGTTTGCGAAAAAATATAAAGGTGGCCTATTACGTTTAAACATGGAATCTTTATTTAAACGGCTGTAAACACGGTTATCAAGTGAATTAAATCTATTTTCAGAGCAGTTCTGGTTAAAGTCTGTTTTTTCTTTTATAGACCATTCTGGGTCGAACCCTTCGTTTGAAAGCGAGTAGGCGTCGTGGCCCCTGCTGTAATCTCTGCTGTTATCTGTTAGTGATCTGGTCTGATAAGAATTAAATAAACTGTTTCTAACGTTTCTGCTATAACGGTCATTCCTTTTGGAATTATCTCCGAATAAATTATCGCAGCTGGCTGTCAAAAACTGGTTGGCCGCGTCGTCAGTGCTGCTGTTTGACGGGAACATTTCGGTTTTGGTATACTCTTTTTGAGGGCATTCAGATGATGATCTTGATACATTTTTATGACAATTCTTATTCTCCTCTCGAATAATGTTATCATCATCAGTAGTTTGCAAACTGTCAACACCGTTTTTAATGAATAGGTACCTATTAAAAATACTTGTAGACATATTTTTGGAGGATTGATGTCGCACTGAATTGGGTGAAACATTTTTGTTGAAAAGTTTCCTCCTAATGAACGTCAGATCCGGACATGGTGTAGTAAGTAATGGGCTGGATGCAGAAAGCGAAGTTTCGGCATGGATTGTTTGTGGAAAAAATCTGTTATGAACGACGGAAGCTGTTGTAGCATTTGATGACTGTGCTTGTGGCAACGTACTGCTAGAGAGATGCGAAGTTGTAACGATTTTTGATGATATCAGTGACCCTGATTCAACTTGTGATGATGTTGCTGAGTTCGAAAGCTCTAGTGGAGTTTTGTTACTCTGATCTTCTTCTACAATGTTTGAGATGTTTCGGTCGTTACTTTCACAAATTGCGTCACCGTCTTTTTTAACAACATAGTTGAAATCGTTCTTTTTACTGTCATCAATCTGATTTTTAGATGGTGATTGCATTAGTTGATAATCAGTATCAGTTGCTTCTTTTGTACTTTCTAAGATGTCCGGAAGCCCAAAAGGAAAAGCATCATTTTCGTCCTGTTGTATTTCAGGTTTCAAAATAATTGAAAAGTTATTTTTGTCAAAAGGCATTTTTGTTTCAGAAACTTCTACAATATCATTTGTACATTTAACATCACATTTTGTTTCTTCGTAGCAGTTTCTGAAATTGTCTCTGGTCACGTAGATAGGTCCCTCCTGCCTTTCATCACATTCAGCTTCACTGCAAATAAAATTTTCTGTTGTGTTGTTGTTTTCATTTTTGTTCTTACGACTCAAGGTAGAAGTAATGTTATCACCAGAGTCTACAGTTTCATTTCTGTTTATATTTACATGGGTTTTGGTGCTGCCACTCGTGACGGAGTTTTGAAAAGTGTTATTATTGCAACTTCTGACTTCATTTTGATTGACAAAATAGTTGGATAATAGTTCTTGCATGGAAAATGTTGATGACATCAAGTCATCGTGCATATCGTCGTCCAATCCTTCACTCAGACTATAAAAATAACTTATATATTTTTTCGCCTGATTCATGTCATTTGTTTTAACTTTTGGGTCGTGCTTTGTGTCTGTCGCATTGTCATTTGTCATTTTGATGTTACATAATGAAATTGTGGCATCGTTTTTTATTTCGATGTCATCACATGTTTTTGTTATTTCATCATAAGTTGTTTTTATATTAATATACGAAGCCTTGATATTATCAACTGTTGTCGTCGTGTCAGCGCCTGTCTTGTCATCATCATTCGTCGTTTTCGGTAGTGTGGAAAGTTTCATTGCCAATGTTGGCGCACGTGTGGCAGATTTTGGCGATGGAAACTCTGTTGTAGCTGTTTGAGAAGTGAACGCTGGGAGTTGCGGATATGTTTCCTTAGAGATTAATACATTGTTAATAGTTGAGTGTAATTTGATGCTGGTTGGTGTGGATGCAGGTGATGTCTCCGTACCTGTAGCATCATTAATCCAGCTTCTCAGCAGTTGAGGGTTTGTCCATTCGAAATTTTCCTCTCTAGCTAACGGTTTCTTCTGTAACATATCAGAAGGTGAAGATGACGAGGAAGATGAAGGAGGTGGAGTTTCAAGAATATTTTCATTATAATTATACAACGGATTGCGCAACATTTGACGCGTTAATTTTTTTATTTGTATCTTTCTACGATATTCATTTTCGCTTTCGTCGTAGACGTCGTTGTTTGAAGTGCTGGTTTTGTTGCAGGGAGATTCAACTTCAGATTTGATATCAGTTTGGTCGCCGCCATCGCTACTTTCATAGTAATTGTTGTAGTTTTTGTACTTATCGGAGTTGCTGTCAGAGTTGGTGGTAGAAGGAATTTTGTTTTCAAATTGATGAAAATTTTCTTGCGCGATGGTGTTAATTATTTCGGACACCCTTGTTACGTCGTCCTTTTCGTTAACTAAGTTATTGGAATCGTCAGAGTTTTCACGTATGTTGTTGTTGCCAACAAACACAACACGGTTCATATTGTTTTCAGCAGTTTCATTTTCGTTGATTGTGTGTCTATCCATGTTATTTGCATCGGCGCTTTCTTTATTCTTGTTCAAGCCGTTAACTGTTTCGAAATGCAAGTGAGGCATGGAAATCGTCGTTTCGATATTTTGTGACCATTCACTTACAGCATGAGTTGTGTTTGTTTGTTGATGGGAGTAATCATTTGCGAGTCCTTTCACGTTGCCAACACTAACGTTGTTGCTGTCGAAACAAGATTGTTCAACGTCTGAAGAAATATTTTTAGCGTTGCAGTTGAAGTTGTTGCTGCTGGCCGATGTTTTCAATTTGGAATCTAAACACTCTCTCGCGACATCATTTGTTGATTGTGATCTACTAACAAGTTGTTCCACTGTTTCTATCATCCCGTCACACGATGATTCATCGCACATCATCGTCTGATGTTCTGTTGTGCTGTCAACAAATGAATGTGAAACGGGCAGCCTGGGTTCTTCGTTACAAACAGGGAAGCTCTTGCTCTCTGGTCGCTCTCCACCCCCATGTTGGAGGTTCTGCAGAGATTTGTACTGCTGCATCTCTTCCTCCTCTTTTCTCCGCTTCTTGGAAATAAAACGAAAGGTTCATGTACAGTTTTTATACCATACATTTTTAATAATTTATTAAAAATTGTTGGCAACTTTTTATTTAGCAATTTTCAATGAATAAAAATCAAATATCAAATCTAAAATAATCATCTTAATCGTTACTATTTAACGTAGGAAAATAATCTACGTTAATTCATGAAGCATAATAATGGAAACGTCTGTTTCAGCAGCAAATAAAACTGAAATGCAAACATCTACTTGTAAATATTATACAACTTAACAACCACACAACGGCTCATACTTTTGAGATCTTTTTGGGATGCTTCTTTCTGAAAAAATTTAAAAAAAGATTCTTGTGCTTTGTTTTTGTGTTGTTGTCCATTTGGCTCGTGTTGGTCTCTCGGCTAGAATTTATCGGATTCAATTGTTTGATATTGCATTGTTGGTTGGGAGGTTTGTTGTATGGTGTCGTCGTAACGATGTCGTCGCTGTTGTTATATATGAAATTGTTATTGTTGTTTATGTTGTTGTTTGTATGATTGTTGTTGTTTATGTGATTGTTGTTGCTCATGTGATTGTTATTAGCGATAACGTTGTTGTACACCGTGCTGTTGTTATTGTGGGTAATGTTATAATTACTGTCGTTCATATCGGAGAAGTGGACTTTATCGTTGTTGACGTTCGTGTTTTTAACGTTGTTGTATGTTGTGTCGTTTGTGTTGTTTAAGTTATTACATTTATTGATATTGTTGCTGTTGTTGTTGATGTAATTATAGTTATTAGCTGGTTCTCCGTGAGGATTACAGTTGCTGGTAGTACATAATTGTTGTTGCGAGGAGAACATGTTCTGATATTTTTTGTGGCTAAATGGATTCAATTTTTTTAAACTGCCTTCGTGTTGAGGTTGAGGCGATGAATCGATTTGGTAGGAAGATTTTTTGTGGAAGAGAAAGTGGAGTAATTTGTTCTTGTTTGAAGATGGTTGTAAAGGCTGCTGTTGTTGTTGGTTGTGTTGTTGTTGGTGTTGTTGTTGTTGTTGAAGCGTGTTGCTCTGTGAAACGACGACAACAGAATGAGATTTTATTTTTTGTTGTTGATGATGTTGTTGATTGCGAGGTTGATTTACAAGAGGGTGATGTTGTTTCTTCAACAAATCATCAGCACCGTTAATATACTTATCATTAAGCATATCTTGACTGTGCATTTTAAATAATGACGATCTTTTCCACAATTTTAAATTACTTATTTATTATTTAATTTATATTTACGAGCAATTTTTTTATTATGAATCTTTTTATATAATTTTTTTCGAAATGTACTCTTTATAGTTGTAAGCCAATTTCATCAAAGTTGGACAGCCTGCAAAATATATGTAAGTAAGGAATATTAATTGCGGTTAAATTATAAAACGTATTCCATTCAAACAGCTTTGCAAAAATTTTTGATACACCGTGATGACGATATCCACAAATAAAGAGTAACATGAAAAATAACTCCCAAAAAGACAATACTAAAACTAACTGTTTGTTTTATTCATTATTAAAATACAACTTGCTCAAGTGCTCTTCACGAAGATTTTCAAACAATCAAATGTTGGCGCACACACTCAAATTTATTCATGTAAACGAGCTGCATTCAATAGCATTCAGTCGATCTGACCTTCAAATCATTAATATTCAACGCGTTCAAATTGAAATTCAGCCAATCATTCATTCGCTCATCCGATCTTTCGTTAATTCATTCATTCATTCATTTATTTCTACATATAATATATATATATATATATATATATATATATATATATATATTGGAAATGAATGTTAACAAATAAGAATTTCTATTTGTTAATCGTATTGTTTCAAGGATTATTAATAAAAATTTGAGTGTATGATGAGTGATTCTTATGTTTTATGTTGTGCCAAGTTTTCGTATGGCGATTCAACTGGATTTGGTTATAATCAAATTTAATCTAAACTCAAATTCTTCACTGATTTCATATAGGTACTAGACGAAGAAATGAAATAAATTACTTTTATTCTATGAGATTAATTGTCGAGTAGTTCAGCGAGTGGTGAGCACGAAATGAGGAGGCATAAGTAAACAAACAAGTAAATTAACAAATGAACATCAAGTTCATGAACACATACTGAAATATGTGTGTATGTTCCGCACACACCTTCACGGACACACATACACGGACACACACACGCGCGCGCATTAACACTTAATTAAGTAAAATATATTTAATTATGCTTTAGGATTAATTGATTTTATATAATTTGTTTCTTGTTTGACCAAAGAATTCATTGGATGAGACTATTTATTGTGTTGCGTCGCATGTTGCGTTGCGTGTTGCACGCATACTTCATACTGCATAACTACGTTACTAACTACGCATTGAGTCACATGATTGCATGGTACATCGAGCACAATATTTATTTATTGCCCTATCAACTACCATTTATATTGCTGCTGTTTGTAACAACAACGACAACAATATCAACAGAACAACAGAACGATAGCACAAAACTCACAATAATACCACTAACGGTATGCTAGTATTTTCAACTATCAATACATAAACTGAAGACTGCAGAGCATAGCACATGCACCAGGTAGAGAGTTGAGTAGTAGAGTATTGTGAGCAGTTGAACCACCACACTCATCCATTCAGTCAGTAACTCGCATGTGCGTTTTTGTTTAGTTATTATTATTGTTGTTGTCGCGATTTTGTTGTTTTATTTTGTTGATGTTTTGTTGTTGCTGTAAGGGACAGACTGACAGGTGCAAAGGCCCTGGAGCAATGAAAAAATTGAGGCCTTCAATTATTATCTATTATTTTTTACTTTACCCATATCAATTTTTAGCATATCACGGCAATTATGGTTAAGTGGCAATATTTTTGGCTTATTTTATCTACAATAAAAAATTTTTTATTTATAGACTAGCGTTTTTATAGAATATTCTACGAAGAAATATGTTAACTTACTTTTTAAAAAACTTTATATCAAACACTGAAACCGACAACAAAACCAAATTATTGTACGATGCACAACGGTGAGCAATAAAATTTATATGATCAACATCGTCACAAGTGCGTGCATTGGATAACTTATAAAATAATTTTATTCATTTCAGCAAAAGAATTCATTATTATTTAACATTTACAATTGAACGATCATTCAATTGAACGATCATTCAATTGAATGTCTATAAAAGAAAGGACATCTTGCACACAACAAGTTTCGCTTTGAATCATTTCGTTTCAAATTTATGAGCAAACACTGAGAAGATTCATGATGTTGTCGATTGCATTTTTTAAAACTTTAAATCATCAGCAATTAATGTGTGTTGGTTTTCTTTGTTAATTTGCAGAAACTTTTTTTATGGAAATGTTCATTTTAACACTTGAAACAAAACATTTCGCAACTCGTACCTTATCGTGCAACTTCTTGTTTTATTTCCTGTCCATTTTTTGATTTGAAAAGTAAACAATACAAACAGCAAGTAGATGCTGTTGACGTTATGCAAACGTTGCATAATTTACTTTTTGTACTTCAACTTCGTTTTAATTGTGTCACCATAGTTTGGCACTTGACATTTTTAAAAAAAACTTATCTGTGCGGAAAGATTAAAATGTTGAAATCATTTCATTGTTATGAGAATGGCCTTCAAAACAATTTCATTCATCAATTTGTTTCTTGCATGGTCATTTTTCAATAAACTGAACTTTAACAACAAAATGAAATGGTCGGCGGACGAAAATTGTAAGGGGAAAACAAATTCTTTCACCCACACAAGCACGTTAACAAAATTAAATACGCTAACATCTTCTGCTTCCCCATCGCTATGTCAAAAATTGAAACTGTTTCTTGAGAGATGTTGTTATCACACGTCATCATGTTGTTGTTCAAATTTGTTATGTCCTAATATAGAACTAATGATGAAATTATTTTCAGAAATTGAATGTTCTATTTAACGTGATTACTGCCAACCTTTGAACGCTGGTTTTTCAAGCAAATGAACCAAAAACGCTGTTTGAAATATTTTGTTTTTGTTTTTTTTTTATTTGACTACTATTAGTATGGCTGTATGACAAGTTAAGCAAATGAGGACAAGTTCAAAATAAAAATACAATGACAAAACTCACAGTTGAAAAATAAATTTAGTAAGTCGTTAATGAACATAAATTTTTGAGCAATTGTGGATGACAAAATGTCTTTTAGTTTATGAAAGTATTGCACAAACATGTACGCGAAAGTTCTGCAGTTAGTTGTTGTTTGTTCATACTAACATGACATGGAGATATTTGCTCAGAAGACCAGTACATAACATGACATAACTTATGTACGAAACATCCCGACCGACTGACTGATGTGGTGATAGCTTAAGTTATATCATTGAACCGTATCATTCAAAATGGCTAAGTAGGTAGGCAAGTGGGTTGATAAGTGATTCGAGCTAAAATTCAATTGGACAATGAATGCAGCGGAAATGATTGTATTTCAAATATTCTGAATGTGTTTAACATTACGAAAGAATAATTAATCGTTATTGAATGTCAAGAAAGTATGAATGAACTGTGTTATTTGCTTTGTTAGGTATTCGCAGTACATTTGATTTAACGTACACCCTATGTAAGGGAGGCTTCATAATACAAATATTCATTATTATATATATTAATATATACACATGTGTGTTTGTGGGTGTGTGTGTTTGTGTGTGTGGGTATGTTTGTTTAGACGTAGTTAAAAAATTTTCAACTAAAAGCAAATATTTTACTTTCAATCATTCTTACAAATTGAATATTCAGTGAGAAAAATAACTTCAGCAATAATTATGCAGCTGAAATAAAAATGATATCTGGTGCAACATCATTCGCAATAATATCATTAACAAGGAATCCTATTTGACACCAACAACAATGACAACAACAGTCTTAATGTTTTTAATACGAAATATTCTCGAACCTTCCTGATGTCCTGGAGTGA